GGAGGGCAAACGTGTCGAGGGACCTATCACCATGGGAGACGGTAACAGGCAAGACACTTTGCGGATGAGACGAGAGAGGAGGCAGAGAGATGGAGAAAAGACAGAGATTTGCGCTATCGTCTACAACAGACAAAAGCGAAGGCGCGTGAGGGTCCTGAATGGCCCGGTCCCAGGAGTGCCCTACTGGTTCCTGCCGGGTCCATTTGGGGACTGCCGAGGCTTTTTTGGACACTTGTCTTGCCAGTGACCTGCTCCACCACAGTAAACGCAAAGGTCGTCTCGGATGCGTTGTTCTTTTCGCGCTCGCCTCTGAGCGGGGGTCAAGGGCCGGAAACTGGCGGAGTCGATCTCCATCGGCTGAGGCGCCTGCGACGTCGAGGCAACAGGGCGAAGGCGCTGCTGCAGAGGTTGATAGGGGTGGTCGCGTTTTGCGACTCTGGCGAGGTCCGCAGTGGAATTGTTCAAGCGCCTTGCGAGATTCTCGCGCTTCTGGATACGCGACTCCACCTTGACAACCTGCTGCGCTAAGGCCGCGTAGTTGTTGTCGACCACCTCGTCGAGCTTGAAGAGGGCCTCGGTGAACTTCTCGTTGAGTGTGCCGAGAAGCATGTCGCACTTGGTCTCCTCAGTGATATTCAAGACCAGAGTGAGACGCTCGAACTCGGCCAGGTGGACGCTGACGGAGGTCTCCTTTCCTTGCTTGAGGGTGGCGAGCTGCTTCTTTGAATCTGACACGGGATCGCGGACTGCAAAGGACTGGATGAGGGCGTCGAGAACTGCATTGGCATCTGGCAGTCCAGGAAACGAGATGGCCAGTTGTGGGGTCCGCCACTGCACGCGCGTCGCGCCACTTCGCCGCATCGCCTTGGAGGAGTTGGAGAATCCAGGCGATGGCTATGCCCTCATTTGGGAAGAGGTAAGGGCAGGCCTGCATCTTGAGGCGACAGGATGCGGCGAAGTTGCGCACGTCTTGACCAAGAAGATCGGCGTCGAAGGGTTTAGGGTCCGCGATCTTGACGGCAGTCTTGGCCCAGTTGGCTGCTGGTGTGGGTGCAGGGACGGGTGGTGAGGCGGCTGCTGAGGCGGTAGCAGCTGCGGCGAAGGCCTCGAGCTGTGCAATGCGCTGCATCATGGTCTCTTGCATAGCAAGAAGAGCTTGGCGAGAGGGAAGCCCGTCGGCCTGAGGCGAAGGCACATCAGACTGGGCGGAAGGTACGTCGGGGACTGACGACATACTGGAGTGCCTGTACAAGCTTTGTTGAGTTTACAAAGTGTGACGAAGGGCGAACAGGACAGGACGAATGCTTGTGCTGAAGACAGGACTTGGGCGAGATGTAGGGGACAAGAATAGAAATTGTAAACTAAGGAACAAGACAGCGGAAGGCTGCCTACTTATGTCTACCAGGTACCAGCATGAGAGCGGATGGCGATGATGTGGATGGAGCCCACGGGAGCCGACTCTCAGCAGGAGAACAATGAAAGAAGAGGGGAAGCGAGATTGCATGAGCCCAGTGGAGATGTCCGAGCTGCAAGATAAGGAAGAGACAGAACAAGGGACGACGTGGTAGACGTCGTCGACGAGTAAGAGAGCGAGTAAGGACAACGTGACAGAGCGTTGCCGGAAGCGAGGAAGCTAGGCGCGGGACGATAGGCAACGTGCTGAGGTGATAAGCGTCGTTGAAGGGCGGAAGGTAGAAGAGCCGCGATGAGTTGCTAGAGCATGTGGTGCGGGAAAGTCGGATGCGAGGTTTAAGGCTGCGTGTTCGTTACATGTCGGCGACGTCTAGCCAGACGCGCCAAGAGACAACGAGATGTCTCAGATAGGTCAAGCGAGAATGAGGGACTTGAGTCAGAAGAAAGCAAGCAACTGTTGGAGATGCTGAACGAGTGTTTCCATGAGCTAGACGAAAGGTCCAGATCGGTCGCTGTGGTTGCGCACAGAAGAATAGCCGCGAGATGTGACCAGGGGTTTCAGGTGGTGAGACATCCGAAACCAGAACATAATTTTGATCAGTCAGTCCGTGACACCCAGATCTTTGAAGGACCCAGCTTGAGGCAAGGTGCTTGTTCACAGTGACAGGTTCGGCGTGAGGAGGAAGCCCAAGAGGAGTACACGATTAAAAGGCCAAAGACGGAGACGGATTGCTGCAGACCGGAGTTGCTGGAGATGAAGGGAAGAGGGGGAAGCCACAGGTCAAAAGATGGGATGAGATGAGATGAGTTATTCACTAAAGAACTTTGAATACAGAAGGCTCTCCTGACATGGAAAAGAGACTGAAAATGTTGAGCAACGCATAGTGGTGCAACATTGTTGAAAAAGTTCAGCTGAGTTTGTTGAATAGTGGCCGAGTAGTCGTTGAGAAGCAGAGCTGATATGGACCGGGATGATCTCGGCGGATCTTGTAGAGCGTGTTATACCGGGATACCTCGCAATACAACAAAGAGAGACTGACGCGCACGGAACTCTGCAATACAGGTAGTTGGAGATGAAGTTGGTGTAGTGGTGTGATGAGTTTTGGCTTGAGATATCAAAAGAAGCTACGTCGTGCTCAGACCAACTTGTTGAGCAAGGCCTGCCACATAGTGTGATGGGATTTAGCTTCTAAAAAAATCGCTACGTCGTATTCAGCTCAACTACTGTCCTCCGTTATAGGAAGGAAGCAAAACAGAGAATCCACCAACACAAGGGTGCTCAGACTCTCCACGCAAAACAACGTCTCAGTGCCATAAGGCATTTCATATCTCGTCACTCCCAGAGCGAGTCTCAATAGCGATGCTGTTCCTCAGCGAATTTGTAGTAAGGGTTGCCGTAGCAAGCCTACCACAAGACCAGACAGGCCGGCCAGCGCAATGCTTTTTCGAAGAAACCCCGAAGAAGGCTTCGAAGCAAGCCATTTCGACAAGTATGATAAGATCCGCTCATAGCGAGAACGAGAAGGGGAGACTCCCAGAGTGAGCATGCCGGTCAACACGCTCGAGAAGTAGCGTATCGAGACCAGTTCAGGAAGTGCGAGGGCTCCAATCGGGGACCAGGGAGGACCCCGATGAATTCATAATCAATGGCGCAGGGGCCGGCAAATGATCTAGTCGGTGGTCGTTCTAAGCCATGAGGGAGACTGAAGGGAGCTGTACGCTTTTACTACATGCGGGGAGTGTACATGAGCTCAGATGAGACCTCGGGGTCCAGACTGTCTATGGTGTTGACCTGGTTGCTGCAACTTGTTGTTGAGAAACGACAGGCGCTCCTGAAAGAGAGTGGAAGAGAACATTCTCTACCTGTTGAAATGGTGTTTGGACCCGAGCAGGAGTGTACAGGCTCTTCAAGATGACAAGACGAAGCTAGTCGGTCTCAAAAACAAAGTGAAAATACTTTCACCCGCCTATTTTGCACGAGTACAGCGACCAGGTGCCTGTTCTCCTCGCTTGCAAGGAGGCGCTGCCATTCAGCGCGAGTCTCTCATGTCATAATGCCTGAAGAAAATACCCAACGATGTTGTCCAAGAAGTTGATAAAGCCCTGGGATCGTGCAATCACTCGGCTACCTGACTGGACAGAACAGGGACGTGCGGTGTTAGCCGCATTCGTGAGAACGCGAGTAGTGACACTTTTGAGCATTGACCAGGTCGATTTTCGCCATTCTTGTCTGGTAACAAAAGTGAGCCCCTGTTCTCTTAAGAATGACTCTTCGGCCAGGCTGTCGTTGAAGGCGCTTCATAAATAATCCATGCTCTCTTTTCTATCATGTGTATGGCCAAACAGCACTGCTTACAATCGCTCAACTTGACTTGGAACGTGTGTCAGTGCGTGAAGCATGATGCGTGGTCTGGGGTCAATACACAGATAGCTGAGTCTTGACACATTCGCCCCTAGCCATGCTTAGCTTTGAAATGCAGATGGACTCGAAGATGCTATTCCGATTGAACTGGTTGCAGAGCACTAATAAGAGGTCGTGCGATTGGCGTGAGAATCAGACAGCCATAAAAGTTACGCAAGCATGCGAGTCATGGCCCCTAGAGCTCAAGTAGCGCTCTTCCGAATTGAGCGAAGCGAGCCTCGATCAAACTTCATCTATGGCGCGAGGCAGCACTTCCCCAAGCTCGATTGCGGTTTTCGGCCATCCAGTGCCCATCATTCATGCTTGCTTGCATATGGAACCTCGATTTTCTGGGCGAACAATTACCAGGCGTGGTTGGCCTAAGACTTTTCCAAGTCTGACAACTGGATGCTGCTCAGATAGTGCATTTTAGAGCCAGCTGTGAACGCGAACAGCATATAAATCCAGGCCAATCTGTGTAGTTCAGAATGGCGCATTGTTCAACCGTACAGCATGTCGTCCTCTTCTTCACTATCCTCCACCGGCACTGTATGTCTGCTTGGATGCACTGACGCTCGACACATAGGACATGTACTATGCCTATCTATTAGCATGATCCTCAGTTGGCCGTTGCTGACGGAGTAGCTCACAGCTTTAGCCAAACACTGATGCAGTCTAGGTCGAATCGGTGGCGACAGCGAAGCTCCACCACAAGCGGCCATTTGTCGTCTAGGTATGGTTCTGCGCAGCTACTATTAGCTTATTGTAGTCGTGATTGAACCATACATGGCGCAACTGTCGTCGGATCTCAATCGTGAGGAGGGTACTCTGTCAATCGTGTCGAGAAAGAGCTGATCTACACCGCTGTCTGTAGATTCATCATTGGCACCAATCTCTGAGGCAAGCTGTTGCACCATTGTCTCTATGAGCGAAGCATTGAGCTGTGTCTGGTGTTCTTGCAGCGATGAAGCGAGTCTCTGTCTAGCCGCGTCATCAATGACCGCGTCAGCGCTGAAGAAGGCTTGAAGATTTGGGTCATTTCTTAAAGTCTGACGACCTGATCGAGCAGAGGATGCAGCATTGTGCTCATCCTTGAAAGAACTATGTTCTTCAGCGTAGGAGGCCATATGGCTCAGGTCGTCGATTGCCTCGAGCTGTCACTCAACTATGTACAGTAGACTACGGCTTGTAGGCAGAGCGTGAGACAAAGCTCGACCTCGGCCGGAAGACGACGACGACGAAGAGCAGCAGCCGATGCGGGAACAGACACACACATCATAATCATGTTCAGGACTTCAGCTGCAAAGACCAGCCTCGCCCGAGCCTTCTCTACCTCGCGTTACAACGCATCCAAGGTATCTTGTCCGCATTCACCCAAAACAACCACTGACATCGTCTAGGTTGCCGTGCTCGGTGCCGGCGGTGGTATCGGACAGCCTCTCTCTCTCCTGCTCAAGACAAACCCCCTCGTCACGGACTTGACCCTCTACGATATCCGTGGTGCACCCGGCGTCGCTGCCGATGTCGGTCACATCAACACTTCCTCCAATGCTACAGGCTACGGTGCCGAGAATGACGGTCTCAAGAAGACCCTGGCTGGTGCCAAGATTGTTGTCATCCCTGCCGGTGTCCCCAGGAAGCCTGGAATGACCCGTGATGATTTGTTCAACACCAATGCTTCCATTGTCCGCGATTTGGCCAAGGCTTGTGCTGAGCACTGCCCAGATGCACACATGCTCATCATTGCCAACCCCGTTAACTCTACCGTCCCTATTGTCAAGGAGGTGTACAAGAAGGCCGGTGTGTACGACGCCAAGAAGCTCTTCGGTGTCACCACGCTCGATGTTGTGCGTGCATCCAAGTTCATTGGCGATATTGAAGGAACCGCCCCCGAGACTACCGAGGTGCCCGTGCTCGGTGGACACTCTGGTGTCACCATTGTGCCACTTCTCTCTCAGGCTGGCTGCAACTTGACTGGCGCTGAGCGTGATGCCGTTGTCAAGCGTATCCAATTTGGTGGTGATGAGGTGGTTAAGGCCAAGGATGGTTCGGGTTCTGCTACCCTTTCTATGGCCTTTGCCGGAGCACGATTCACCAACTCACTCTTGCGTGCTGCTCAGGGTGAGTCCGGTGTTGTTGAGTGCACATTTGTTGAATCGCCATTGTTCGCTTCCCAAGGGGTAAGTTTTGCTGCGTGATGTCAAAGGTTGCTAATGATTTTTCAGTGTGACTTCTTCTCCTCCAAGGTCGAGCTTGGCCCAGAGGGTGTCAAGAAGATTCACGATGTTGGCAAGATCAACGAGTACGAGCAAGGCCTGCTCGATGCATGTGTCAGGGACGTAAGAAGACCTTGGTCTGCAAACATTGCTAACATCAGCTCGCTGGTAACATCAAGAAGGGTGTGCAGTTTGTTGCTCAATCCGCATAGATCCACAGCCTCTAGTGTTGTCCTCATAAAAAGTTCATCTCCGACTCACTTGTCTGCTGCTGCATCATTATTCTGCTAAGCTCGTGCAAGGTCCGTAGGGTTCTGATGATCTAATGCTTCGTGTTACATCGAGAAGAGCGATTGCTTGATGCATACATAGACAGTGCTAGTGGAGACCTTGCTGTACAGGCCGCTACTAAGAGATGCATATGGTGAATCGTGAGGGCCGTCTATGAGCAGCCTGGGCATAGATCAGGACTGGCAGTTCACATTATCACATTATCACATTATTACGCGCACGTCGCATGACCCGCGGCATGACTCATGAGTGCTTGATAGTCTAGTAGACTAGCTGTCGAAGCATGTTATACATCCGCTCCGCTACTGCCGCTGTCTGTGCCGTAACGTGTACGGAGAAAGAACCCCGGCAGCAGTCACGGTTGCGCCGGCTCTTCTGTCAAGCTGTCAATCTCGGTGGCGCCCAATGAGCAGCGAGATCTGATGCGCGTTTTGCAATTCCTGGGGTCGAATGATAAATCTGTGAAATCGCATGCGCGTGATGTGCCGGAAACACGGTCTCGCCATCTTAGTTCTGAATCACCTCCACACGAAACACAGGATGCTTCATAGAGGGCCCTGTGCGCACTTACATAGGCGGCATCTCAACGACTAGACTATCTACCTCAGCAACACAGACCATTACCAAAGATGCTGCCCGCCGCGTGTTCCGTCGCGGGCCTCGTCGTTGCGCTCTTTGCCTTCTTCTACTTCCTCTTTGACCGTGTCTGTCAAACTGAAGTAGACTGCGAGATGGCCATCCCAGAGGGCAAGCCGCGCTTCTACCTTGCTCAGGATGAAGAGGACGCGGAGCTCGAGGCTGAGCCGTATAGAGACGACAAGGTGGTCCATCACGACCGATGGTGAAATCATCTTCATGGCATGTATGTGCACAACACCGCTTACGCTACCTTGAGACTCCCAAAACAACAACACACCATCAAGCCTATATGTTTCCCTCTTCCTTCACAGGGATGTTGTAAAATCCGGTGCCGACGACAATGTACGACATGATGAGGATACTTCCCTTGAAGTAGTTGGACTTGCCCTCAGCGTACACATGCGCCAGCAAAAAGACACACAAGATGACCATGACCAGGTCCCATCCTAAGCGGTCAGCAAGCGCCAAGAAGCAAGAGTGAAACATACGTGGGAAGATGAGGCTGAATGTGTATGCCGGAATATCCACACGATCCCAATTCTTGTATGCCGAAAAAGCAACGAGCGCTGGGATTTGTAAGAGCAAGACTTGCAACGCATACGCAGAACCAATCTCCATCGACAGCTCAATGTTGCCGCTCATGGCAAATGAAATGGCATTCATGAATTCGGTGGTGTTGGGGACCAAGGCGAATAGCGTAAATCCCAGGAACTTTTCCTCAATCTGGATATTCTCCAGTACAACATCGACCGTGTCGACGAGGATCTCGGCAATGATGGCATAAAACAAGGTTGCAACGAGCAGCACAGCCACAGACTTGAGTCGCGACCAATTTGGCGCATCATGGCCAGAGTGTGGCAATGCTTCCTCTTCCACTGCAGCAGTCGATGGTTCAACACGTTCAGCTTCAGTCCTGGTAGACATGCGCTTTTGCTTTGCAACGACACGGTCGCGCTCCAAAGCCGATGCAGTGGCATGCGAAGCAATTTCTGCAACCCGTTCATAGAATGCCATAGGATCTTTTGTAATAAGATCTGCTAGACTTTGTCCTCGACGTTCCTTCAATTGGCGCAACACATCTTTGGCAGAGACTCGCGATGTACCAACGTCTCGTGTTTCAGCATGTACAGACGGTGGTTGTGGGTAGCGTCGAACCGAACCTGGTCGAGATGCCAACCTTGGCGAATCGAGGCAGCTTTCACGCATGCCATGGCCTTCCGTGGCAATGCTGTGCTTGACCTCGTGAACGGGCGTTGTTTGCCAGATTAAAGCAGCATGTGTACGCAGTGTAAACCATAGCCCAATGAGGTAAGAAAGAATGAGCAAGACAGCACATAGGTAGGTGAAGGGCTTGACGCTCTCTTGATAGAATGGATCACTGATGGCTGTATTTTGGTCAAAATAGCAGCGCTTGCAATCATCGCCTCGTCGACAGCCAGTGCACTTGAGTTCATACTAATTGTTAGTTGGGATGGGGCAATCAGTTCCTTACGCTGCCATAGATTTGATAGAAGAGAGTTGGACCAAAAGCGCCAATAACCGCAAACAGCACTGATGTTAGCAAAATCATCTCAATAAGGAAACGTACTCATGGTCGATGTAATTCCGGCTGCCTTAGCATTGAATCTCAGTGTTTTGCGAATGACAGCTCCCGAGCACATGGACAAGCCAGGCATCAGCAGAATACCAGCCAGGATACTGCCAACAATACTGCCTTCAACCAGTAAACCTTTACCTTGGCTCAGAGCCACGCAGTATAGAAAGATTTCGATCACCGAGCCAAAGAAGGCATTGATGGCCGCGCCCATACCGATTGATGATTGCGCAGAGATACTCGCCACTGCTTGGCCAACAAAGTAAGCGAGAGGGATGATGGAAAGTAGCGACATGGCAAAGATAAATGCTCTGCTTGTGAACCAGAGTCCAGAGCCAAAGATTGGCACAAGCACATAGTTGTCTAGGATCGTAAAGAGCACCACAAAGAGCAGGTTGATGAAGAAAATGTTGGTGCCATCAACGGTGTACTTGTAGTAGCGCAAGCCCATGGCCCGGTACGTACACAGGATGACGGTCCTGTCTGGGGATCCGCTTTGGAAGCTAGACTTGATGCTCCAATGAAAAGAGAGTGCCAAAGGATGCGAACGCAGATGATGAATAAGAAGAAAGCACAGCTTGGCCATGGGAAGTGGAAAGACGGCAAGCCAGCAGATGATCGCAACAAGAGACAAGACTGGCACCACAAGCAGGTAGTAGAGCAGGAAAAAGACGATCCGACCTAGGCTCCATTGTCCGCGACCGAATGCTCTGCGCTTGGGATTGATGGCCTGCGTATTGGTTCTACCACCAACGATGCCAGTGAGCAGCGGTTGATGTTCATCGTTCCAGCTTGCATCTGCCGGCGCAGAGACGCTTGGATTGCTCGTTGCAAAGTGCTCAATGTCCGCCAAGTCGGCGAACGTCCTGCCTAGCCCCTCATCCTCCTCAGCATACTGTTCGTCCGTCTTGAGCTCGACGTACTGACCAAAGGGGTAAAACATGTAGACTGCCAAGCCGACACATAGTCTGCCATAAGAGCGACCTGAATGAGTCCAGACTAGCATAAAGCACACCACAGCGACGACCAAGACAACCAGCGAGATCCACCATCCAAATAGCAGTGTCCAGAGGACATTGCCGAGACTGAAGCGCTCAAGATTGCGGCGCCCCGGTGTAGAGTGGATCTCACCTTCTGCAGCCTTTTGCACAGATCGTTTCTTCTTGTAGAGCGCAGGTTTCCAAATTCTGATTCCAAATGGATGCGACTTGTTAATGGCTTCTTGGCGTGCCTTTAAGGTGAAGGACTCGTCTGAGGCTGACGTATGCAGACTAGCACCGTCAATGTCATCTTCAGGGTTTACTTCGCCTTCATTGTCCAAAGCCTCACCGTCGCTGCCAAGCTCCTGTTCATCACTTGTCTCTTCAAGATCAAGGCCACTGCTGATTGGTCTAACCATGAAAGGCGCCAACCTGCGCTCACCAGAAAGCGCTTGTGTTCTTGAGTCCGCGCGCGAGAGGATCGCATCTGCGTCTGCTTGGATCTCGCGCTCACTATCATCCGTACTGAATATACGGTGCGGATGCAGTGCCTTGCCTAGACGCGATGTACTTTTGCGCGACATGGGCGGCGGTCTTGGAGCAAGGCTTGGCTGCTGTCGCGAAGCAGCTGGGCCGGTAGTCACCTCGCTTCTCCCCGTACGCCTCGAGGGCGTCGAATCCGAAGAGCGACTGCGCACGTTGCGAACTGTGCGATCGCTGTGGTCAGAACGCTCAGAGACGCGGCGTAGCTTTTGTGTGTTCGCGGCTGTTGGTAGCGGGCTAGGAAAGCTAGACGCTGTACGATAGCTGCCGTCATCGTGCTCATGCTCATCCTCAGAAGAGGCGGCCATCTGCTACTATCGTCCTGGCTTTCTTGTCAGGTCTAGCTTGGTCTCTCAGCGAGTCGATGTCGATGTCTTGTTGTGTGCCGTTGTTGTCCCTCGTCGCGTCTTTAAAACAAACCTGCACCCAATCAGACGGCAAACAAACCAACACATCCAGCCAGTGTAGTCATCTAGTCGAGTAGTCAGGGATGTTGTGCTCCCAGCAGAGTCACAGGCTCATTGTACGCTGGCAGCAAGTCAGACGACTAGCCACCGTGGTTCCAGCCAAAACAGGTGTCAAACAAACGCTTATCGAGAAGATCGTACAGCGTTTTGCTGTGGATCAGACAGCTCCCGTGGTCAGCGGCAGCTATGTTTCCATCAGGCCACAGCATGTCATGTCCCACGACAATTCCTGGCCAGTGGCCACCAAGTTCATGGGAATTGGTGCGACTCGCATCAAGGACAACCGGCAAGTGGTCATGACACTCGATCACGATGTGCAGAATAAGTCTGCAAAGAACTTGGAAAAGTATGCCAACATTGAGGCATTTGCAAAAAAGCATTCTGTCGACTTTTATCCGGCGGGACGTGGTATTGGACATCAGATTTTGGTCGAGGAAGGCTATGCATTTCCAGGTACGATGACTGTAGCTTCAGACTCCCATTCAAACATGTACGGCGGTGTCGGTTGTCTAGGGACCCCTGTTGTACGCACAGATGCAGCCGCCATCTGGGCTACAGGCAAGACTTGGTGGCAGGTACCACCTGTTGCCAAGGTTACCTTGAACGGAGCGTTACCTGCCGGTGTATCTGGTAAAGATGTGATTGTCGCGCTGTGCGGACTTTTTAACAACGATGAAGTACTCAATCATGCCATTGAGTTCACAGGCAGTGGCATTGCTGCATTGTCGGTTGACGATCGTTTGGCCATCGCCAACATGACTACCGAATGGGGAGCACTCGCCGGTGTATTTCCAGTGGACGACACTCTCCTTGCTTGGTACAAGAAGCGTATTCAAAGAAAGGAACTCGAAGGATTCGGCAAGGACAAGCATCCTCGTCTGCACACTGGCCGACTTGAAGAATTGCAGCAAAATATTCTGACACCTGACCAAGGTGCCTACTATGCAAAGACTTTGACTCTTGACCTAAGCACGCTCTTGCCTCACATCTCCGGGCCAAATTCTGTCAAGATAACGACTTCGCTTGCTCAGCTGGCCGAACAAGACATTGCCATCAACAAAGCATACCTTGTCTCTTGCACCAATTCGCGTTTGTCTGATCTGAAAGCCGCTGCTGATGTGTTGCGTGGCAAGAAGATTGCCCCCGGTGTTGAGTTCTATGTTGCTGCAGCGAGTAGCGAAGTGCAAAAGGACGCAGAAGGCGCAGGAGACTGGTCTGCCCTGGTTGACGCTGGCGCAAAGACACTGCCGGCAGGTTGTGGTCCTTGCATCGGCCTTGGCACAGGTCTCCTCGAAGATGGCGAAGTCGGTATTTCAGCAACAAACAGGAACTTCAAGGGTCGTATGGGATCACCCAATGCGCTCGCGTACTTGGCGAGTCCTGCTGTGGTTGCAGCGAGTGCGCTGGCGGGCAAGATCGCCTTCCCGCCTTCCATTGACCAGAGCAACCGTCAACCCACAACAAGCATCACTTTGCACCAGCAGGAAACCGACACGGCTGCGGCCGGCAGTGCAGCAACGGCTGTGATGGATGGCTTCCCAGCTAAAATCGAGGGCGAGATTGTATGGTGCGATACCGATAACCTCAACACAGATGGCATCTACCCAGGTAAGTACACATACCAAGATGATATCACCAGGGAAAAGATGGGTGAAGTCTGCATGGAGAACTACGATCCCGCGTTCAGAAACATTGCCAAGCCCAATGATGTTCTCGTGGGTGGGTTCTGCTTTGGCATTGGCAGTTCTCGCGAGCAAGCCGCCGTGGCCATTCTTGCCAAAGGCATCCCCATGGTCTGTGCCGGCTCATTCGGTGACATCTTCAAGCGAAACTCCATCAACAATGCCTTGCTCTGTGTTGACACGCCTTACTTGATTGAGCGGCTACGAGCGGCATTCACGAACAAGGAGTTGACAGTGCGTACGGGTTGGAAGCTATCGTGGGATGTGGCTGCAAGTACAGTCACTGTGCAAGAAGGTGCCGATGGCACTATATGGTCTCGCCCAACTGGTCCGCTTGGACCATCTGTGCAGTCATTGTTCATCAAGGGAGGCTTAGAAGGTCTTGTCAAGTCAGAGATTGCATCTGCATAATATAGCATGCTACCGATTGTATCTGTAGGCAAATAGCGAAGTTCACCGGACGAGAAGCTTGTGCCTCTACTCGCGCCTCTTAATGCGGCATTTGAGATGCGTAGGTCGTGTCTCGAGTGAAGCTTGAAATTCACCTGGCATCTCGAGCACGTCGACCTCGAAGTTGCGAAATATTGTACCAATAACCATAATCATCTCTGATGAGGCAATATGCTGCCCGATGCAGTTCCTGGGCCCAATCATGTATGGTGCAAACGCATCGCGCATCTGCTGGGTAGGCTGCTCCCAACGTTCTGGCTTGAAGCAATCAGGCTCATCAAAGATGTCCGGGTGGCGAAAGAGTGAGTAGGTCGGGACACTCACGTCTGAGCCAGGTGGCACGTTGAAACTTTTGCCTTTAATGCTGACATGCAATCCATTGGACGCTTCGCGCGCCAAACCACGAGTCACGACGTGCTTCAGTCGCATCGCTTCGTCAATGACTTGCTGGAGTAGCGGGATGGCCTTGAATTGAGCATAGTCGTAAGAAGACTTTCGCACAGGCAAAGCTTTGTCAAGAGCTTTTTGAAGCCGGAGTCGGGCGTCAGGATTCTGAGAGACAACACAAATGACATTGGTCATGGCGACGGAAGCCGTCGTGGAACCTGTGATGAGCAATTCCATGATGTACATCTTGAGATACTGCAAGTCGACCGGAATAGCAAGCTTGGTGAGTCCAGCGAGGTACTGTCCTAATCCATCGTCGCCATGCTCTTCGAAATTGATTTGGCGCAGCTTCTTGTTTGCCACCGAAGAGAGTATGTCGACCATCGTTGGCTTAATAAAGGGCAATGCATTGACACAATTTTGGATGGCGTTCGCTGAGATCTCAGCAGCGCACATCATGAAGGCCAGGATGAATTTTGGTAGGCCGACCAAATCTTGTTCATTTTTGATAGGCTTGCCATTCTTCAAGGTGCCATCAAGCACGCTGCTGCGTCGCTCAACGCACTGAAAGTCGCCCCTGAATGTGAAGAGACCCATGGCGTCTAGTCCCAGACAGTTGAACAAGTAGCGTAAATCAATCACACGGCCAGATGCTGCATCCTCTTGGAGGACTTCGTCAAAAGTCGCGACCAGCTGTTGACAATCCTCCCTGAATTTGTTGAGAGCCTTTGGACCAAACGCTGCACTTGCAAGCTTTCGCTGATATTTGTGAACTTCCTCGTCACGCTCGATAACCAGACTTGGACCTAGACATAAAATGCCGCTGTACAATTTTGATTTTCGCAATGGATCCGGACCCCTGTGAATTCGCTTGAATACCTCAACGTCCATGATGGAGACATGCGAGGGCGCAATGAGAACGACGGGACCATAACGCGCATGAAGGCGGTGCACGTACTGATAGCGATCATTGGTCAAACTTTTATAGGCGAGGACAAGACTGGTGAGGCGGGTGGAAAGTGGACCAGGGATATGACGATACTGACTGTGGCGGTATACCAAGAACGTGACGTAGGCGAGTGCAGCATACAGCAACAGCATGGGAAACATGGTCGCGCTGTATGTTGTCGTTGTTGTTGGCGATGCACTGTTCTGGAACTATTCAGGGGTCGAATTTTGCTGACATGAATTGTTCCGCTTCTGGTCTTGGACTTTCGGCTGCTGCCTGTGCATACGCAGACGACACAGGACTGGCAATTTGCAGTTCGTATTGAACTTGGAACGGAGTTGATGACCTTGCTGTCAAAGTGTCTAAGTTTAGAGAAGCTCCTTTCACCCTAGTAAAAGCGTCTCAACTGGACATCGAAAGTCGCCTCAAATTCCACTGCTTGAACACCATCATCTCCAGCATGCCACCGCTCCAAAAGTGCATTCGCAGCGACAGGTTTGACTTCCGGTGCAGTGCCCAAAGTGATGTGCAAATGATCATTTACAAAAGGCAGCGAGACCGTCTCAGAGGCAATAGCAAGAGCCGCAATTTCTTGATTGAAGACGAGGTGCGTTGAGCGGACCTTGATTATTTCTTCGTCTTCCCAAGTACGCGACGTATAGTATTGCCAAACATCTGTATGCTTTTGAGACGAAGCACGATGCGCTAGAGTTATGTGAAATGTGTTTTGAAGCCAGTTGTTGCGCTTGAATTGCTCAATGATTGGATGCTGCAAGTTCAGCACCTGAGACGACTCAAGCACAGCGAGACCAAAGTAAGTCACCTTGGGAGTCTTTTTCTGCTTTGTTTGAGATTCATGGACTGCAACGTGCTTATGCACGCTTGGCTTGTATCCCATGGCATACTCGACTGCATCGTCCATGGTCGCTCGATTTGGCATGTTTGGCACAAGTTGATGGTCGACCAGCCATGTGACGACCTTTTGCAAATTTTCATGCACCGAAAGGCATGGATCCAGGGATATCACCTCCCAAAAGACATCATCAGGGGGCTTGCTTGTATCGAGCGGCTGGAATCGTTGATGAAAGCCATTCATGATTTTGAGGATAGCCTCGGGACCTTGTGTTGCAGCACGGATGGATTGATGGTTATCGCCACGAGCAAGCACACGCTGAGCCATAACCTCTCTTGCGCCGGCACTCTGCTCAAAGGACAGAGCCACAAAATGAAGAGGCGGGTCTCTCACTTTGCGAAGACCAATCAAGTCATGCGCAAGTGACTTTCGTTCATGCAACATGTGGTTGTTGCGGTCTGCAACCACGATACGCTTGGCGGAAAGTTCTATATAGACACCTTCTGCAAAAGGAAAAGAGGCCTTCTTTGCCAGGATGTTGTCATTTTGAATATGACCAAATCCAAACAACCGTTCAAGTGCGAGTGCCAATGTCGTCTTGCCACAACCGATGGTTGCAATGGGCACAAGGACAAACCAGTCTTTCCTCGGATCTATCTCGACGGGAGCGAGTTCTGGATTGTTGATGATGTCAGTCAAGTCTCCACCTCGGTGGTCAAGGAACCGCTGTCTGAGTTCGATGATGCCGTGATTCTGCTGGTATTGCTTTGCGAGGGAGGCGTCTCGTATCAAAGGCAATATGAATTGAATGTATTCTCGCGTGATAGTTGCATGCTTCTTGAAAACAGGTTCTCCACCGCTGATGATTTGCTTGGTGACTTCTCTCCATTGTCGAAAGAGGAGGTAGGGTTCCTCAAACTTGTACTTGAAGAAAAAGTCACCATCAGGACGTCGCGTGCGAATGACGAATCCTTCAACTTCAGTGCCGAGATAGGTACCAGACTTGCTACACTTTTCCAGCAATGCGCGCAAGGACGGCAAGTCTGGTTTTGTGATGAAGTCTGTCTTGAACATGCCGAAATACTCTGCAAAAGTAGCAACGTCGGCAGCACTGTACGTGGCAAAGCGAGGAGTATTGATGTTCAGTCCATGTAGGTACAAACCGCTCTTCTCAGGCGGATATGCCAGGATGTGTTCTTCAAAAGCATCATCACACAATTCTGCGACAGCAGTGATGTTGTGCTTTTGCAAGACATGAGCCAGCTCCTTTGTTGTCTTGCCAACCTTTTCAAGGTGCCTCTTGATCCAATATTCACCTCGCTGTGCATGTGACTCTGCCGTGTCCGATCGTGCACCTAGACTGTGTTTCGATGTGACCAGCAATTCTCCATTCGGCAGAGCAGCAAGGAAGATGATGCAGCCATTCGACTTGAGGGTCAAGTCATACGGCCCTGACGTCGTCTGCTCGAGCGCCTGCCATTTAGTCGCCGCTACTTCATCGGTATTGAAGAACTTGTCGTAACCGCGAGCGATAATTTGATACCGATCGCCTTCCTTCATGGTAAACAGCCCACGTGCGTCTGTTGGTAGCGGCTTATCAGGCTTTCCATAGCTGAACTCATCCATCTTCCAGGATTGCAAGACATACTGCGTTCCAGGCACCCGCAGGTCTGTGCATTTGATGGTTGGTCGCTTATCGCCATTGAGCTTGATTTTATCGGTGTATAGCGTCGTCAAATGTCGAATGAGAGTATCTGCCTCTAGCGCTGCGTCGGGTGGTGGCAAGAGGGATCGTACTCCAGGCACGACTTCCATGGACGGTGCATGGGATGATTGAAGTGGAAGTGTCGAAGATGTCAAATGATGCATAGCTGGAAAGGATGCAGTCACATTCGGGACTGGTGAATGTGTGAGTTATATAAGAAGAGAAACTACGATCATAAGGCCTAGCTCTGATTGTCAACGCTGACAGGCCCTGACTAGACGTGCAATGGAGAGAGGCTTGATCAAGGACAGTGTCTGGCTAAGGCAAGATCATGCTGGCCCATCCACCAAGCATAAGCAGACCTAAAGAAGGCATCAGCAAGTGGTCACTCCGAGTGAATGGGGATGCATACCGCCGAGGGGCGTGACAGGGCCAAGGACCTTACGAAGCGATGGAGAACCCAACACAAGACCATAGATACTGCCACTAAACATGAATGCCCCAATGCAATCAGCGGCGCAGTGAAACGATGCCTGCTAAAGACAGGATGCAGGGAGACACCGAGCAAGACAGCAGCATGGACGAGCAGGTAGCTTGACGCTGTTTCCCAGTTTTTAAGGGATTTGGCATCGATTCCTGCGCGCTGCTGTAGACCATGCGCGCCGAATGCGCCGAGTCCGACAGCTGCGAAGCCGTAGCCTGCGCCGATGCGCCAGATGGTGGATGGAGCGAGCGTCATGGTGGATTGGACGTGTGCGCTGTGTCGTGTCCGTGTATGGAGCCGGGTCGCTGTTTTTTGGTCGTGAGAAGTGCGAAAAAGAAAGTGAAAGGGCGCAGGTGAAGAGAGAGAAGACTTCCTCTCCCATGACCAACAGACTACGACAGTAGTAGTATCACTACGGCAGATGCAGTGACAAAAGAGGAGAGCAGACGATGGCAGGAGACTTGACTTTGTGGAGCTGATGATCCTTGTTGTCGCCCCTATACTAGCCCTTCTATGAAGGATAGTGAGTACTTACACCCGAGACGCCAAATCTCATGTCTGATCCTTTTTACCAGAGCAAATCTCCATTGCCTCTCGCTTTCTCTTTTGTCAGACTCATGCAGCGAGCCTTTCTTCATAGCCATGGACTGCAGGCAGATCCAGATGATGATCCTGATTTTCATGCTAAATCTGAACGTACAAAACCTGACGATTAACCTTTTCATCTTTCGACTGATGGGTCTGCCTCTGTTGTAGTCATTCTTGTAGTAGACTAGCAAGCACATCCACCTGCAATAGGTCGTTTCAGGGCAACGATGCTTCTTCTGTGCAAGTCTGCATCGTCTTCCACCTCAAAAGCAAGCAAGTCGCGTCGCGCTTCACGATCACGACACCGCTGGGCAACCTCTCTAAACAGTGCATCCACACCCATCCCAGTCCGTGCACTCACTTCTCTCACGTCCACATCTTCACGCATTGTATACCACTCAGCATCTCCATCCAGCGCATGAGACTGCTCCAATGCAATCAGGGCCTCTTCAGGAGACACAAGACATCCACAATCACACTTATTCCCAACGAGCACAACAACCGGGTTTGCCGTCCCGCTGTGTTTCAAGAAACTCGCCAAATGATGCTTGAGTCTTTGTATGGAGTCGGGTACAGTGCAGTCATACAGAAGCAGCGCTGCATCGGCACCACGAAAGAATGAAGGGCCTAGTGCATTGAAACGCTCTTGACCTGCTGTATCCCATAAACACAACGACACCATCTCCCCTGATGCGCACACATCCATAGATCCAGTCGCTGGATGTGGAGAGACCGGTACTTGCTTTGTGATGAAGTTTGCGCCAATGGTAGCACGATAACTCAAGCTGAATGTCTTGTGCAGGTACTGTGTCCTCAGCGAAGTCTTGCCGACGCCGCTGTCGCCCTGCAACAGTCGTGATTAGCTGATCTGCGCTGTGTGTCTTGAGAGGAGGACATACGAGGAGAAGCACTTTGAAGGTCATGACATGTCTACAGATGTAGCAGGAGTGTGTGTGTGTGTAGAGTGGTCAGGGAGGTCTCTGTTTGCCGTGCACATGCAAAATCAGCGAAATCCACCAACACGACCTTCCTTCCATCGCGCCAGTTTCTCTGAGCGTAGATGATAGACTTGTCTGAGTTGGCGATACTCCTTCATAAAAGCGCCCACTGCCAATCCACTTGCCTCTGTCGCTGCGTCACCCTCCCCGCCACCAGGAGACATCACTTCACCTTCCAAGAAAGAAGCAAGCAGCGCTTCACTCATCTTTTCAGCATCAGTCGTTGCTGCTTGGAGTCGTGTAAATAGGGCATCTGCCGTTGTTGGTTGTAACGCAGCATACATGGCGCGTTCTTCTCGATTCCATAAATCTTCCTTTGCACGCGCTGCTGAGACTGCATCACACGCTTGCTTATACTGTTGATTCGCTTGTGTGTGCAGTGTAGTGATGCGTGCTTGGAGGGCTTGTTCTTGTTGAAGGAGGGCGAGGTGTTGTTGATGCCGTGCTTGTGCAGTGTGTGAATGTGTGAGGTAGAGTGCTTCTAATGTCTCTGGGTCTGCCAGGAGCCGAGCCATCTCTTCTTCCTGCAGGTCTGCTAGGATGGGTAAGCTCGCCGCAGCAGAGGGTCTCTCATGTAGATTGTGCGCTTGTGTGTAAGCTGGTGAACGTGGAGATGCCTGTGTCGGTGGATCGGGTGCTCTTGGCTTTGGAGGGCGTTGAGGGAGTGTCTGGTGGTCGCCTGGCTTGGGCGGTCTTGCTGGAATCATGACATGACTCTATAGGCTGTCCTAGTAGCTGTAGTATCGTAGTATAGTAGCTGCAGTAGTATAGTAGTAGTCCTGAGTGGTCGCGAAATCCAACACGAAAGACAAAAGAAAGACCACGACACGACCAGGACAAGGAGGAAGAGCAGCAAGGAAGAGTCAGAGAGGCAGAAGACCTCCATCCGATGCGGTCGAACGAGAGTCCCATGGACTTCCAATACGACAACCCCATCAAGACTGACCCAAATTCACCCTTTCGTCTTGCTGGCTTGGGTAAAACACTGACCTTTGATGCGCAGGAACCGACTCAGGCGCCCAGACGTATGTCTGCTCAATATCGAGACGCGATTGACTAATCTCTACTGTAGGGCCGTGGCAAGACAGTCCCAACAAGTCACTCAGCAGTTTCCAGTCACCACGACCTTCAACTAAGCATCATTTCAGTACACCGGCCAGCGCACTGCCGCGTAGCCATCATCAAGCAGAGCAGGAAGATACACCTGGTACAGATGCGACAGAGGAAGCGTTTGCGAGTGATGCAGATTCACCCCTCACGACCAACAGCACGATTGCACTACATGGGCGTATTGGTAAACGGGGCAAGTTGTCGGAGCTTGCGAAATTGAAGCTCAAACGTCGTCGGCAGAAGCATCTACGGGATGCGCATTTCGGGCTGGAGGAAGAATCGGAGGACGATGAAACACGCATCATGAAGCATCCATCTGCTGTACCTGCTTCGAGATGGGCCTTGGACAGAGACTTGCCGTCTATTGCAAGTGGCTACCTCCAACTCACCTTCAACCTGTTTCTCCTGCTCATCCTCCTCTACTTCCTCGTCTCCTTCATCCTCACCATTCAATCAGACGTCAACAAAAAGGTCGAAGAGTACTCTGCCGAGATTCTCTCTGAAATCTCACAATGCAGTAAAGAGTACCTCGAGAATAGGTGTTCCCCAGATCAACGGGTTCCAGCCATGCAAAGTGCCTGTCAAGCTTGGGAACGCTGTATGGAACGCGACCCACAGAAAGTAGGCCGAGCTCGGGTGTCGGCAGAGACGTTTGCTGAGATTGTCAATTCATTCATTGAACCCATCAGTTACAAGACTATGGTGTTTGTACTTGGTTTGGTGCTTGGCAGCTTGTTTGTGAGTAACTTTGCCTTTAGCGTCTTGAGGCAGAAGAGCACACAGCATCAGCAGCAGCAACAACAGCAGCAGCAGCAGCAGTTGGGTCAGGGGATGCAGGCGGCGACTTTTATGATACAAGCGACGCCACAGCGTGATGTCAGTGGACGCAGGCGACCTCGGGACTGGTCGTAGGCCGTCTTTTGTGGTAGAGAGTCCTGCACTAAGCCTTTTCTATTGCTTCCCTTGCCACTTTCACGTGAAATTGTTGCTGAGTGATCTTCTGAGCAAACTTGTGAGTGAACTTCTGACTTCAACTTCTGACGTCTTTTTTGTTCTTTTGCGACAACCAGAGACCACGCCGAATCTATTGACTGGAGCCTGCAGGAGAACAGCAAGCAGCGAGTATATCTATCAGGCACATATCCAAGGCAGTGACACTTCCTATAAGCAAAGGGCCCCTCTTCCTTACTCGTGCTCAGTGATGGACAAGACGAAAAAGTCAGGTAAGCAGAACTTCTACGGCCGGCAACAGACCTAACACGCGTCTAGCCATCGCCAAGGCGAAATCGGCCGTTCAAAGTGCCAAGAAGCGTAAGAAGCACGATTCCCTGGCAAAAATATCAACGGGGAGTACGCAAAGTTCAACGACAGCGGCGTCATCACCAGCAAGCAGTATTTTGCATCATCCAACGTATAACGCTGCTGCTCCTGCTCCGAAATGGGCACCGAGTCGGTCTGCCACGCAAACGGAAGACGAAGGCCATTCTGAGGAGAGTGCAGGTGAGGAAGAGGAAGACTTTGAGGATTATTGCGTATGTCTTTTTTCTGCATTTTTTGCTTTTCATGGAGTGTATGCTAATACAGCAGCCTGGCGGCTATCATCCCGTGAAGCTCGGCGAGGCATTCAAAGAAGGTCGCTACATCACCACTCGAAAACTAGGTTGGGGCCATTTCAGTACAGTATGGCTCGCGAAGGATACTCAGGAAAACCGGCATGTTGCACTCAAAGTGGTTCGTTCAGCAACGCACTACACGGAAACAGCGGTGGATGAGATTAAACTCTGTCAACGCATCACGCGCGCCAATCCCGATCATCCTGGCCATGCGCATGTGGTGAATCTATTGGATCAATTCGAACATACCGGCCCTAATGGACGGCATGTATGCATGGTGTTTGAAGTGCTTGGTGAGAATTTGCTTGGCTTGATTAAGCGGTATGAACACCGTGGCATCCCTACACCGGTCGTGAAACAGATTACATGGCAGATTCTATTGGCACTGGATTACCTCCATCGCGAATGTGGCATCATCCATACAGACCTCAAGCCAGAGAATGTCTTGATTGCCATTGACGATGTTGAAGCTGTTGCTACGCTCGCTGCCACACAAACAGCAGAAGAAATGGCACGGACGCCCGGTGGCAATGCTAGAAGGCGACCACGCTATTCTCGCATCATTACAGGCTCACAACCCCTCCCTTCGCCAGCTGCGAATACGCTGCGAACGTCATTTTTGGATTTACCGGTACGGAGTGATCTGGAGGGTGAGTCACGCGCTGGTAGTACCATGGCACAGGAGCGTCAACGTCTTGATCCAGAAGGCGATACGAGCATGTCCCATGCACGCGCAACCTTGACCAAACAACGTACGGCAGATGTCATTACGGATCACGTCAGTAACATCTCTCTCACGCGCGAGTCGAATCGTGCTGCAGTCGGCGGTGTGGATCTCTCCAAGATAACCGTCAAGATTGCAGATTTAGGGAATGCATGCTGGACGCATCATCATTTTACGAATGATATCCAAACACGGCAGTATCGTGCGCCTGAAGTGATTTTGGGTGCGAAATGGGGTGCGTCTGCGGATCTGTGGTCCATGGCGTGTATGGTCTTTGAATTACTGACGGGAGATTACCTCTTTGACCCAAAAGCCGGCAAGTCGTATGATAAGGATGACGACCATGTTGCACAGATGGAGGAACTCCTTGGTCGTTTCCCAAAGCATATCGCGCATTCCGGTAAATTCTCAGGTGACTTATTCAACAAGAAGGGTCAGCTTCGCAAGATTGAAAAGCTCAATTTGTGGCCATTGCAAGAGGTCTTGCGGGATAAGTATCACTTGTCTGAGGAGGAGGCACGACAGCTTGCTGACTTTTTAACACCAATGCTCAACATTCACCCGCATGAGCGCGCAACTGCACGGAAACAGTTGGATAACCCATGGGTGGCTGATTTAGAATCTGTCCAGCTAGATGGCTACGTGGAGCAAGATAAAGTCTCTGGCTGGAGTCATGAAGCGAAAGGCGATGCAGCCACGAAACGATGATCCAAAACCCACATGTCTTATAAGATTTCTATGAATGTGTATCAAGCTGTCTATATCACGATATAAGTGTACGCTCGTCAGAATCAAATCTTGGAGGAAGACTTGTCATTGAGCACACGCTTTGTCCTGGCCTCAACGGCATCCAAAAACTCATCCGTAGTGGCGAATGGTGTGTCCTTGGAAATGGCAATAGCGAGATCCTTGGTCATAATGCCATCGACATCAACGGTATCGATACACGCCTGCTCAATGGCCTTGCTGAACGAGACGAGTGCATCATTGCCATCCAGCTTACCACGGTGCTCCAATCCACGCGTCCAGGCGAAAATCGAGGCAATCGGGTTGGTTGAGGTTTGCTGGCCTTTTTGGTATTGCCGGTAGTGTCGTGTGACTGTACCGTGTGCTGCTTCCGACTCAATTGTCTTGCCATCTGGGTGCATGAGCACCGATGTCATCAAACCCAATGAACCGAAACCCTGTGCGAGAATATCCGACTGCACGTCACCGTCGTAGTTCTTGCACGCCCACACCATACCGCCGGAGGACTTGACAACTTGTGCCACCATATCGTCAATCAAGCGGTGCTCATACCAGATACCAGCCTTCTTGAAGTCTGCTTCATACGTATCTTCGTAGATCTTTTGGAAGATGTCCTTGAAATGTCCGTCGTAACGCTTAAGGATAGTGTTCTTTGTGGAGAGGTAGAGGGGCATCTTCTTTAGCAGTGCAGTTTGCATGGAGCTGTGTGCGAAGCCTTCAATAGATGAGGTGATGTTGTACATGGACATGGCCACACCAGACTCCTTGAAGTCATACACATCAAGGGTCGTCGCCTTGCCACCATCAGCAGGGGTATACACAAGCTGAAGCTTGCCTGCACCCGGAACCTTGTAGTCTGTTGCACGGTACTGGTCACCAAAAGCATGACGACCAATGACAATCGGCTCAACCCATCCTGGAATCAGACGTGGTACTTTCTTGAGGAGGATGGGTTCCCTAAAGACTGTACCACCGATGATGTTACGGATGGTACCGTTGGGCGAACGCCACATTTCCTTGAGGCCAAACTCCTCGACACGGGCCTCGTCGGGTGTGATGGTAGCACACTTGATGGCGACATTATGCTTGAGTGTCGCGTTGGCGGAATCAATCGTGACTTGATCGTTGGTCTTGTCACGGTTCTCAATACTCAAGTCGTAGTACTCGATGGGCAAGTCGAGGTAGGGGAAGATGAACTTGTCCTTGATCTTTTGCCAGATGATACGGGTCATCTCATCGCCGTCCATCTCAACGACGGGGTTTGCGACCTTGATCTTTTGGAAGGCTGCATCAGGGGCGGGTTAGCAAAGGGCCTCTAAGACTCTAGATGAAGCGACATACAAGCCATAGTCATGCGTGATGTGGTGGATAGGTATGTGAGTCTGCCTGTGTGTCTAAGGGCAACGGCCGTGCGGAACATGGACTTGAAGGTAGGAGTGTCCTTGTTTCTGCTGAGTAAATTTCTCAAAGTTCGGGAGTTGCCTAAATCTTCATGAAGCTCGGACATGCACTCCGCAGGCGTATAGCACCACCTGCAGAGACACGGAGCAGCTCGGACAACGTGCCGTAGCAGGATCTGGGTCTTGTCTAGTGGCAAGTCTACTTGCATGCTCTTGAACAGCGCTGGGCCAGAGTCCGTTCATATTCTCCGGTGTCGTGGGATGCCAGACTGACTAAGCGGCCGGGTAAAAAAGGCATCCACTCGCGGAAAGCCGGGGAGGGCAGTTCATATGAGATGCCATACACCGTATAATATACACAACACGACTAGTGAGAACACTTGACACGGGTGAGAAACATAGTGAAAAGATTGACTTAAAAGAAAGAGCAGGGAAGTGCACACGACATTTCGTGTGCGTCGTCGTCTCCGAGTAGCATCACTTCTAGAAGTGCACTATTGCTGCTCGAACCATCGCTGGACGGCGCCTTCCATCGTCACAAGCAGACCCAAGCCAAGCGCACTAGCACCCACCGTCGTCCATTCGAGCCGACCAGACTGGAATCGCTGATACCCGGCAAAGCCCACAGCAGCAAACAGCACGGCATTCAAGACCTGGTAGGTACGATCATCCTGACCGGCTTTGATCAGGGCATTCTCTGCCTTCCTTCCAGCCTTCTTGGCACCCTCTTTCGCCTTGTGTGCTTCATCCTTGACTTTTCCTTCAGCGCGTTTCGCTTTTTCCTCTGCCTCTTGCGCTAGCTCACGACCTTTTGCCTGTGTCTCCGTCTTGACGTCGCGCTCCTTGAAGCCGCTGTCGACAATGTTGATTTGTTGGCCAGCGTCGGTGGTGGTGGATGGTTCAGCAGCATGGTCAACGAGCGAGGGCACGGCATTGGCGGCCTTTTCAGCGTCGGATTGTTTAGGGCCTTGTGCGGCGACTTCAGAGTAAGAGGACATTGTCGTGTAGCTGTAGCGTAGGTAGAGTAGGTAGAGTAGGAGTGAAGGCGGGGGTCTGGTTCACGGTTGGAGATGTCTTTGCTTGTGTTGGCGGGAGGATGACGTACAATGGCCGCAGGCTCGCTAAGGCACAATGAAAAGGGGGCTCCAGCTCAGGATATTAGTCTGTCAAACTGACTGGTCGATAGTCGATACAGACGGGTAAGACAGATCTCCTGAGCACTGAGCTGAATTGCATGCGCATGGACGGTCAATGTTTGTCAAGCTATAGAACTCTTTATTGATTTGAAAGAGGCCTACACATCAGATGAAGTCCATGTTGCTTGATTGTGTGCTGGATAGAGCTCCCTCTCTAAGTAGCACCAAGCCTCCCTCCGTCTCGCCATTCTGACCTCGCTATACACGCCTGCAGTCTTCCAATTTCCTCGTTGTTCCTTTCACAAATTTAGAAGAAAACAAAAAGACGAAAGACGACTTGGCCAATCTACACACTCACTCTGCCAGAGTCCATCTACTGCTCTGTTCTACTACAAGCAAGGCCATGGCAGCAACCCCAAAGAGGGACTTTGTCCAGCTACACGACATGTCACCCCTTGGCGCTCCCCTCTCTCAGGCCTACTCACACACCTCCAACACAGACTACGAAGACAACGACCGCTACAGGCGCGACCATGAGCAGTACCTGCAGACCCATCAGGAAGACAGCAGCTCCGTCTCACCTGTCCTACAGCAACAGCAACTTGATAGTGAGTCAGAGAAAAAACCCCTGCAAGTCAGAAGACGCAAAATTTGGCAAGAGACAGGGTCCCAGCACACTCGCGTCACACGCGCGGGTAAACTCTACCAGAAAATCATGTCTATTGGTTTCATTACTCGCTGGCTCTTGTTTATGGTCCCTGTCGCCATTCTACTAGCTATCCCCATCATTGTCGGCGCTTTCAATCGCGCAGAAATTGCGGGTGTTCGAATTCTTTGGTTCTTTCTATGGATTGAAGTCGTCTGGCTCGGTCTCTGGGTAGCCAAACTCGTTGCACGACTGCTGCCGTACATTTTTCGCTCTGTTGTTGGTGTGGTGTCTGTCTCTACGGCAAAGTATGCGACTCTCATCAAAGCACTTGACGCGCCCCTGACGTTTCTCTTCTGGAGCGTCATTTGCGTTGCGACATTTCTGCCCATCATGACGCAGAATCCAGATAATCGCAAGGAGCCAGGCGGTACAAAGCCATGGGAATCCATCATGGCAAAATTGCTGACAGCTGCCGTGTTGGCCAGTGCCGTGTACCTCGGTGAAAAGATCCTCATTCAACTCATTGCTGTACACTTCCACAAAGTCCAATACGAGATGCGCATCACGGAAAATAAATGGGCCGTCAATATGTTTACAAAGTTGCTGGAACACTCTCGCACCATGTTCCCGCGATTTGGCGGCGACTTTGATGAAGAAGATGCAGTCCTGGAGCCAGGCGCTTTTAGTGGACTTCGCACCAAAGCTGGCCGAAAACAATCGACGCCTGGAACGCCTGGTGGAACTGTGACGCCCATGCAATTTGTCAATGGCGCACGACGTGTTTTGCAAGTCGGCGCAGGTGTACTCGGTGGAGTTGCGGGTGAAGTCACTGGCAAAGGATACAATCAGGCCGGCTCACCCTATCAGATTGTCGTTGAAGCTCTGCTCACTAAGAATGCAAGCGAAGCATTGGCAAGGCGTATCTGGCTCTCTTTTGTACAAGAGGGCAATGAAGCGTTACTGCCGGAAGACATGATTGATGTCTTTGACAGCGCTGAGAAGGATGCAGCTGAGGCAGCCTTTACCTTCTTTGACGATGACTACAACGGCGATGTCTCACTGGACGAAATCATCATGAAGATCCATGAAGTCGCGCGCGAACGCAAGGCCATCTCATCCAGTCTCAAGGACACCGACTCTGCTATTGGCAAGCTGGACAATGTCTTTTGCTTGATTGTCTTTGTCATTGCCATCTTCATCCTAATTGCACTTCTCGACACGAGCTTCAAGACGATCTTGACGACTTCTGCCACTGGACTCTTGTCGCTCTCTTTCATCTTTGGTGCCACTTGCCAGGAGATTGTGGCGTCTCTCATCTTTGTATTTGTCAAGCATCCATTCGACGTTGCAGACCGATGCATCATCAGCGGCAACACCTACATCGTTCAGGAAATGTCCCTCATGTTTACCATTCTCAAGCGTGGCGACGGAACACAGGTGCAGGCACCGAATTCCCTCCTCAACACGCTCTTTATCGATAATGTCCGTCGTTCAGCTGCGATGCTCGAAACCGTCAAGATTGACGTCGACTTTGCAACGTCATTTGAGCAGATTGAACTGCTGCGTCTGGAGATGCTCGACTTTGTCCGCCACGAATCGCGCGACTTTCACAATGCTTTTGACATTTCGATTGACAACTTCGCTGGACTGTCTAAAATGACCATCTCTATGGCAATCAAGCACAAGAGCAACTGGCAGAATGACGCTTTGCGCTGTCAACGACGCAATAAGTGGATGTGTGCGCTTGCACTCGCCATCAAGAAGCTCAATATTGTCTCTGCTGGCCCTGGCGCTGGCGATTCAAAGAATCCATTTGTTGTTCGCAAGCTCAAGGAAGAATCCGAGGACTTGCTCAGTGGAAAGTCGGACGATGTAGCAAAGCAACAAGAAACGACGGATTACGCCAAGATTGCATTTGATCCGACATTCGGCACACGCACGCGTACATCTGATACATTTGATGTCAACTTGCGCAGTGGCGGCGCTGGTGAGCGTGTGGATGCCATGCTGCCCAATACACTGGCTGAGGAACGCGACTTGCTGTTTGAGGAGGAGTTGAAGAGCAGTGCGCCCATGCCTCGAAAGACTCAATCACCCACACTACCTATGCAGCAAGCGCCGAGCAATGCCGCAACGAGCAGTCTGCAAGGACGTCGATTGTCAACCAGACGACCCACTGAGGATCTTGAACTCGGTGGATCAGGACCGTACACGAGTCGATGATGACCTCTTTTCGCTTATTTTCTCATGATATGCTATTTCCTGCACACACCTCTACAGCTAGATGAGCCTTGGATAGCTAGAAGGCCAATTCATACATTGCATAGCAACGCCCCTCTTTTTACGACTGACCTTCAGCCACCTTATTTTCAACTTTTGCATTCTCCTTGGGCGGTCGAGCGCCAAACAACTTGCTGCCCACACGAACCTGGTCACTCCCTTGCTTGATGGCGTCTTCAAAATCTTCACTCATACCCATAGACAGCCGGATTTGCTCTACCCCAGAGATCTTGGCATCGAGCACTTGTTGCTTGCATGCCTTGAGCTTTGCAAAATCAGCATTCTCACCTTCATGCTGTGTGGAATTTGCAAGCGACCCAATCGTCATGAGTCCTGCGAATTGTAGGTGCTCGAGTGTTGTTATATGTCGAACGAGCTCCAGAACTGCATCGCCAGGCTCGACACCAGACTTTTCACTTTCGCCAGATGTGTTGACTTGCACGTAAATGTTGACCTTTTCAAGGCTGTGCTCTGTTTCTGCAAGCATCTTGCGACCCTTTTCAAGCTCATTTGCCTTTTTGATGGAGTCGACCGTTTCTACAGCAAACAAGTTTGGCACGCCACTGGCAAGGCCTTTACATTTGTTGCTCTGCAACCCGCCAATAAAGTGCCACTTGATGTCCTTTGGCAATGCTTTTGCCTTGTCAATCAGCTCTTGTGCATAGTTCTCTCCGTAGTGGAGGTGCTTGGTTTCTGCATGGAGAGTAGCAATATCAGAAGCAGGTTTGAGCTTGCTAACAGCCACGAGCGTGACGGAATCTGGAATCCGCGACTTGATGGATTTATAGGCAGAGACGAGCTCTTCTTTTCTAGCAGTTGATGCTTCAGTAGCAGATGACATGCTTCGTGATAGTCTGAGGAGCCTACGGGACAGTCTTTGCATGCGAGGTGTTAGTCGACTTGAGCCTCCACACGTCATCAATGTCACGAATTTCATCTGAAAAAGCTGCCTGTTGCAGCGGCTTACCCGAGAGAGCTTCAAGTCGCCAGGAGCTTATCAGTGCAAATGATATAAGGTAGTTCTATCCTCAAACTACCGGGAGAGTATGTCTCCTCTGGAGCTTGATCGTGTGTCAACCTTGCCGCATGAGTCTCCTCCGTTGCCGAAACATGCAGCTGAGCATGCCATGGATGACTTGCCCCCTGCCGACCGCGGTCGCGCAGCCTGGACATTTGTTGCTGCAGCTACGCTACTAGAAATGCTCATTTGGGGCTTTGGTTTTACTTTTGGTATTTTCCAAGAGTACTATGCCTCCAATGCACCGTTCAAGGGAGCGAGCAATGCGAGTATCTCTGCTGTTGGTACAGTCGCGCTGGCTCTCATGTACTTTGTGTCCTTTCCAGTTCTGCCGCTTGCAAGAGCATACCCCAAATACATTGGGCCTGGCATGTGGGTTGCATTGGCTGTCTTGAATCTCTCGCTCTTCTTGTCTAGTTGGGTGACCTCAGTGGGTGGACTCATTGTCGTCCAGGGAGTCGTCTTCGGTCTCAGCGGTGGTCTCCTCTACACACCTGTGATTCTATGGCTAGGTGATTGGTTCGTCGAACATCGATCGCTTGCTGCCGGTATCATTTTTGGTGGATCAGGTCTCGGCGGTGTCATCCTGCCATTCCTTTTGTCTGCTTTGCTTGAACACGTCGGCTTCGCTTGGACCATGCGCATTTGGGCTGCAATCTATACAATCTTCGGCTCGATTGCTGTTTACTTTCTCAGGCCTCGTATACCGGCTCGACTGCAAGTTGCGACCAAAGTGCGATATCCCTCGTTGCGCTTCCTCAAGGCTCCCCTCTTTTGGACAATTGGTGCGACTATCTTCTTCCAGGCACTCGCCTTCTACCCAATTTCTCTTTACATGACGACCTATGCGACCAGTTTTGGTGTTAAGGCCATTGAAGCCACTCTAGTGACCGTCATCTTCAATTTGTGCTGTATCCTCGGTCAGATTGTGACTGGATGGCTGGCAGATGGTCTCCTCAGCTATGTCAGCATCATGACGGTCTCCACACTCTTCTCAGCACTCGTCTCCTTTCTCATCTTGGGGTTTGCACGGGGTCTAGCCATGCTGATTGTCTATGCCATCTTCTTTGGGAGTGCATCAGGTGGGTTTTCTGCAATCTGGCCACGAGCCTCGTCAGCCGTAGATCCGGAAATCAGCGGAACAATTTTCCTCGCTTTTGCGTACTTCAAGGGTACAGCAAGTATCATTGGTCCGACAGTCGCCGGTGTCCTCTATTCATCGCATCAGTCTGGAAAGGTCAGCAAGGATGACTCTGATTACGGTCGCCATGGTTTTGAAAAGGTGACCTTGTTTGTTGGCAGCATGATGCTTGTTGCAACGCTCATTTCGACAGGTATTGCTGTGGCACCCTCCATCAAGAAGATGACTAGAGGCACTAAAAGCAGCCGATAGAGCACTTGTCACTTTGGCTAATGAAGCACTTATACATTTGTCTTCCTCATTTATTACACGTATCTACATCTCAATTTCTATTGTACTTCCATTCTAGCTCCAGCGAGTCTTCCATTGTCCATATGAACCCAAGCTTACAAGCATACGACGTCGCGGCTGATTCTTGAAGCAAGAGTTGGCAAGTCGCAGCTTCACTCGCAGTTTCGACCCCTGGAATTTTATCCTACTCTACAGGAACTACATGTACAGCTGCGGTCTGAAGGAACACAACAGGTCTTGGAAGATATTCGAGCAATTCAGCTGCAGTTGTTTATTCTTTCTCTGATCATCCCAGAGAGATGGACTGGGGGGAAACTCTCGCAGAGCCTGTCAGCTGCTATGATGGAGCAATGACAGCGAGGCTTGCTGGCCGAAGCTTTGGGGCGATCTCTAACGTGATCACAGGCAGGTTATAGCTTTGAAATAAAGATAACCTAGGGAATCAGCCAACAGGACGCCTGGAGTAGCAATAACGTCTCGGAACTATAGCTGCAACTGGCTTAGCGCTAGCTACACAGCGAACTACAGCCCGCGCGCTTATCGTGCCTCGATTTAAGATCTTGGTTTGCAGTTGCAGAGCGGAACACCCAAACCACCACCATGGACTTTTCTCATGTTGTTGTCGGCGGCGGAGTTGTAGGTCTAGCTGTCGCTTCTCGTCTAGCTCGTGCTGCTGCCTCCAATAGTGTCCTCTTGATTGAGCGCAATAGGCAGGTTGGTCAAGAAACTTCGTCGCGTAATAGCGAGGTCATCCATGCTGGACTCTACTACCCGCTCAATTCGCTCAAAACAGAACTCTGTATCAAGGGTAAATCTATTCTCTACGAGCTCTTTGACAAGCAAGGCATAGACTACAAGCGTTGCGGCAAGTGGATTGTTGCACAAAATGCCGATCAAGCTGCATACCTAGATACCTTGCGGAACAAAGCGGACCAATTGGGCGTGCCGACGCGTACCTTGAGTGCAAAGCAGGCTCAAGTCATTGAGCCGCATGTGCGTGCTGATGAATGTGTCTTGGAATCTACCTCGACAGGTATCATGGACTCGCATGGTCTTATGACTTATCTGCTGGGTCAGTTCGAGAATGCTGGCGGTGACGTGTCTCTTGCGACAAAAGTAGATCGGATTGATGCGATAGCAGGAGGCTACAAGTTGAGTACGACAAGTGCTGGTGAAGCTTTCGACATCAAGTCTGAGTCTGTTATCAATTGCGCTGGGCTATACGCAGTAGACATTGCCAATATGATCCTGAAGGAGCAACTCAAGGCCTATTACGCGAAAGGGCAGTACTATGCATACGCTGGTGGACCAGTTCCGAAACACCTCATCTATCCATGCCCCGAGAAGCATCTCGCAGGTCTCGGGACGCATCTGACATTTGATCTAGCCGGCCAAATCAGATTCGGTCCCGATATCGAGTGGGTGGACAGTCCAGCCGATTTGTCCGCCTCAGATGCAAGGCTTGATGAGGTTTATAAGGCCGTCCAGCAATTCTTCCCGTCGCTCGAGCGCAGTCGCTTGACGGCAGATTATTGTGGCATTCGGCCAAAGATGGCACCCAAGGGTAGCGCAGCAACGGACTTTGAGATCCGTCACGAGCCGAACCATCCAGGCTTTGTCAACTTGCTCGGTATCGAGAGTCCAGGTCTGACGAGTTGTCTTGCCATTGCTGAGCATGTTGAAGGCTTATTGAAGTGAGTGCCGCAATGACGGCATCAGGCTTATGCATCTCTGGCAACATGAGGACGCGAGACATCGTACACCTTTAAAGACTGTTTCAACTTGCTGCAAAGGCTTTCAAAGACCAGAAAGTTCTCGGCAGATCGCAAAATGAGCTCTAAGCCAGTCGAATTTACCTGTGCTAGGACAATGGTTGGGACGCCTTCAGAAGCCCTCACAGCTCGTCGCCGACGCGCCTCACGAGACCAGGAAACAAGCTTGATGGTGAGAAGCATGCTTGTGGGCATCTCCTGCCAACACCACTCGATTGCAAAGGTCGAACAGAATCCTTGAAGCGCTTTCAATGGATACTGAGCCTTGAAAGAACAAACCAGACTGCGTGGTGTCAAGGACCGTAGAGCCAATGCTTGGCTTGCTGCCGTTTCTGGCATGGCTCTTTGAGGCGCAAAAGACCATCCGACAACCCAGCGTCGAGTTTTGCCCTGGGTGAGCTCGTGCAAGACGTAGTTGTTGATCCCAGCGCTTCGTAAATGCCCGACAAGCTGCTCCACGCTAGAGAGTTTACCAAGCATGGTCGTGTACCATTGAATGCGCTTTTGTAGAGCCTTGCTCTCCTCAAACAAGCGCAACGTGAATGCGACTTCACCGCCTGGGGTAATCATTTCGCTCGGAGATCCAATGAATGCCGCAGACTTTGCTCCACCCTTCAACTTTGCTGAGGTTGCAATCTCTTCTTCATCAGTGTAGAATGGTGGGTTGCACATCACAAAATTCAGAGGCTGCGATATCACTGCATTGTGCTGGAGTAGAATCGGTGCATCAACATCTGCCTTGAGCAGGATGATGCGTTCTGAGAGGCTGTTTTGTTTGAGATTGTCTCTTGCAGCCTCGAAAGATCTTTGGTCACTTTCTGTTGCGAGCATGCGCCATTGCTTGTTTTGAGCAATGGTAAGCAGAGGATAGACTGCAGTTGCGCCAGTGCCGACGTCGAGCCCTACAACCGGTTTATCGTCAAGCCGCGTTTCCGAGACAAGGTCTTCGAGCCAGAGCACATAATTGAGACGATTGCCAAGCGTTGGGCAAAGCCGGTCGACAGGAATCGCCACAGTCAAGCCAAAGAAATGCTTGAAGTAGCATCTAGTCACAGCTCTGAGGGCATTTGGATCATTGTAATCGAGGTAAGATCCATCTATGAGGCTGAGAGTCAGCCATTTGGATACATTTTACAGACAAGCGTACAAAGGACGTAGGTCAGGAAAGGCTTGAGCTAGCAGCTTGAGGTCAGGCGGTGTAGCAAAGCATGAGCGAGGGTGCATTCAGCATACGTCAACAGGAAGTCAGAGCTCTGGGAGTGTTGGTCGTGGAAAGGGGGCTCCTCGTCGTGAACTCAACTCCCCGCAATCGCCGACCTCAACATTGAGCACATCGATCCATCATCTGATATGGCTGCCAGCAGACTCACAGGACGTACCATCTTCATCACAGGGGCCTCCTCCGGGATTGGACGTGCCACTGCCCAGGAGTTTGTCAACCAGGCTCAAGGACACAAGATCAACCTTGTGCTCGCTGCCCGTCGCCTTGATACCCTCAAGGAGATTGCTGCAAGTCTAGAGTCTCAAGGTGCGAGCGTACATCCCGTCAAGCTCAATGTTTCAAGTTTGGAAGAGATCAAGCAGGTCCTGGCAGATTTGCCCGATAAGTTCAAGCAAGTCGACTGTCTCGTCAATAATGCCGGGTTCGTGGTTGGGACGGAGCATGTGGGTGACATTGTTTCTGCGGATATCGACTCGATGTTTGCTACTAATGTGAATGGTCTCATCCACATGACACAGGAATTTGTGCGGCGCTTCAAGGAGCAAGGCAAAGGGGATATTGTTAACATTGGGTCCATTGCAGGCCGTGAGCCATACCCAGGCGGCAGCATCTATTGTGCAACGAAGGCAGCTGTGGCAGCCTTCACCTCTGCGCTGCGCAAGGAACTCATCTCAACAAGGATCAGAGTGATCCAGGTCGATCCAGGACAGGTCCTGACCAATTTTTCTGTCGTACGCATGCGTGGTGACACGGAGAAGGCAGATGCCATCTACAAGGGCGTGGAGCCCCTCACGCCTGAGGACATTGCAGAGATCATTGTCTTTGGCGTCTCGCGACCAGAAAATGTCGTTATGGCAGAGACACTCGTGTTCCCTAGCCACCAGGCAGGGGCTGGTAGTATGCACCGCAAGTAAGAAACATAGATATCATTACTCATCATAGAGGCTCAGCTACGAGGATTCTGTGAACCCTTGACCTGTCTTGTCACCAAAACCTGTGCCCGACAATTCCGCAAGCTGCATAGAACGCTTGTAGTCGTTGTAACTCGAGTTCTTTCTTGGCATACCAGGTCTTTCTGCTTCCTGTGCCTCTGACTGCCCGAAGCTGGTAAAGGACAGCTTGGCTTGCTCGTCTACATTGGTCAGAAGTCATTTATGCCAAGAAGCAGCCGTACCTTTGTAATTGCTCGAATCAGCGGCTGGAATATGGCTTTCGCGTCGCTCGCCTTGACTTGGCCCTGCCGTCGAGTACCCTGGCGTACCTCCTTTGTCTGCCATGTCTGCCATAGTGCGAACAAGTGTTGGTTTGCGGTTGTACAACGTCGACGCGATCGAGAAAATGACGACGGAAAACGAGACAGTCACATCTACGACTCTACTACACATTCTGGAAGTAGAATGAAGGATACCCTGGCGTCGCCAAATCTGCCATGGGCGGTAGGTCCTCTGAAAAGTCACCAACTAGCAGCTCCGGTTGCAGACCAGATTCCGTGCGTTTGACCTTGACAATGGCCAACTTGGCCAAGTTCATGCTCGCATGCAAGAAGCTCTCCATCTGTACAAGCAACTGAGCCTCATCAAACAGCTGAGCGCGAGAAAAGACATCCTCAGCAGAGACGTCGGCTGATCGCTGGAGAACCAAGGCCTTGATGGCCTGCACGAATGGCATCGCCTCTTTCCGCTTCTCCTTCTGCATAAGCACTTTGGCATCGTCCACAATCGCCTTGTCGTCAAAGGAGTTATTTTGTTCATCATAATGCCGCTTGATGGCATCGATATAATCTTGCTGCCAAGTCGGGAACTGCTCAGACAAGAAGATAGTCAAGGCCTTTGGCTTCGTAGGGTCATACTGAACCTGTTTGCCCTTGCTCTTCTTCTTGAATTGCAGACCTTCGGATGAGTGAATACTGCTCACCAAGTCGCGCAAGTAGGTGAGACCAGCAGAAATGACAGGGTCCACAGGTGCCGTCAATTCGGGGAATCGGGCAGTCTGTACGCTGCCGCTCTTTTGCAGAACGGTCGAGTAGATATGTTCACTGATGTGCGGTGCGAATGGCGCAATAAGCAAAGCTTGCCACTCAATCCATTGCATTACCAGATCCTTGTGCATGCCCTCTCGAGAAATCTCGCGGTACCAGTCTCGAGCAATGCTGAAGTCGTAGAGTCCAGACTTGAGTGCCGTCCGATATTGCGCAGCTTCATAGCCTTTGCGTGTTGTCTCAGCAAGCTGATTCATTTCATTGGCAAAGGCCTTGTCGCTAAAGAGCATTTCACCTTGACGGAGCGATCCTCGTTCCCTGACTTGCTCTTCACACCATTCCTTGAGCGTAAAGAGACGCAGAATCATGGCATTGGCCGAGGCTTCCTCGAAGTTCGCATCCTCAAGCGAGTCACCTGCGTCAGCCAAGCACAATCGTGTTGCATCAGCACCAAACTTCTGCACAGCTTCACGCATCGTCAAGAAATTGCCAGTTGACTTGGACATCTTGTCACCGTTGAGCAGCAAGTGACCGTTGCCACGTACGCCGCGAGGCCACATGTCTTCCTCAAAGATGGCAGTGTGGGTGTACATCCAGAAGGTCAAGTGATTGGTGATCAAGTCCTTTCCACTGACACGCACGTCGAGTGGGTAAAAGTACTCAAACTCATATCGCATAGCCTCCAATGTCTCCATGGGGATGTCTGTCTCTGGCGATTTGCCCTTCGCGAGAATATACTCCCATACAGCGTCCGTCATTTGTTCTGCGCGAATGTTGCCCTTGCCGAGTTGTGCACCATCAATCGACGCGTGAAGCCAATGCGCAATGGTGTAGTAGGCCATGTAGATGGTTGAGTCAGAGAGAGACTCAACAAGGTATTGAGGGTCCCAAGGAAGCTTAGTTCCAAGACCGTACGATCGCGAGCAAGCCCATTGGTTGAGCCAAGCAAGACACTGCTCAAAGCCATTGCGCGTTTCCGCTCCAAACGTGTTCATGTTCTTCAACAGACCCTCCGTCTTGGCACGCCAATTGGCCTCTCCGTAGTCAATGTACCATTGATCACAAAGAGCAATGACACACTCGTCGCCGGATCGAGACATGATGGTGTCCTCTGGCTCATTGTACACGAATGCAAGGCCTGCATCAATCATGGCTTGCCTGACAAGAGGCTTTGCCTTTTCAACCTTCTCGCCCTTGAAGTCACCAACGAGCATGGTGCCCGAGTAGAAACCTTCCTTGTAGCAAAGTTCCTTGGCTTTTGCGAGCAAGTCAGCATCCTTAGGTGAAGCAATTTTGAGCTGCTGGCAAACGGTCGGTGCACACATCTTCCCGTACGATGGCGTCTCGATAATGGCCACAGGCTCATTCTGAGCCCAGGTTGGATCTATACCGTAAAATGCTGCTTTCTTTGCAAGGTCGAGGGACGTCATGTAGTCATCAGGTGAGTCGCTGGGCACTGATGTGACAACACCCGTTCCTTTGGTTGCCAAGACAGTTTCCATTGGCAGGATACGGACTTGCTTGTACACTGAGTTGGGTGCATCGACAAGGGTTCCGACAAGCTGACTTCCCTTGATGTCACCAAGGTGAACCACTTCACGCTCCTCGAACAAGTCCTGGAACGCCATGTTGCGTGCTGATTTGGCAGAACAGAGGTAGACCTCACCGTTTTTTGCACGGAACAAGCCATATGTAATTTTGGGTCCAACAAAACAGTTGGTTTGGCCATACATGGTCTCAGGTCGAAGGGTTGCTGCAATAAAGAAGATTGGTGTATCCTGCAACTTCAAAGATTGCACAACTTCTTTAGCTTGTTCAGACCACTCGATGGCGCGCAGCTTGATACCAGTATAGTCAGTTGGTCCCTTGCCTTCACCAGATGCACGGTCGTGGTCCATGCAGGGCTGGCCATCGAGAGGCGAGTAAACGGTGTACCGCTTGCCAAACTTGACTTTTTGCAGACCGTGCAGCTTGTTCATCTGCCAGCGCACAAATGAATCATAGTAAGGGTTTGCATCTGTCGTGATCATGGATCGACGCCAGTCTATACGGGCACCAAACGCGGTACAGTCCTCCTCACAGAGCGGCGGGAAGTACTCGAGCCAGTATCGCTCATCAGCAAACTTAGGAATCTCCTCATTAGGAATCTTTAGCAACTGCATGATTTGGAATTGATAGTCCATGCCGCCCTTCTTTGCTGTGGCTTTGGACTTTTTGCCCTTGAACTTGGTTACATCGCGCTCGCCGACCTGCTCTGGCTGTAGCTGCACCTTTTCCTCCAGCGGTGGATTGTCTGGCAACTGAAAGTCCTTGCCAAAGAGCTCAATCTCGCGCTTAAGCTTGTCGGCGCACGACTTGATGGGCATACCTGTGCAGTGGAAGCCAAGGGGAAACAAGGCCCGCTTGCCCTGGAGCCTAGCAAAACCAGTCGCAAATTCGACTTTGGTCAGCGTAAAGGCATGGCCAAGATGAAGCGATCCGTTCATGTAGGGATACGCCATAGTGCCCATAAACTTAGGCACTTCTTCGTGCGTCTGTGCACCTCGCTTGCCTGCTTCAAATGCTGGCGGATCAATCTCAAAGAGCTTGTCTTGCTTCCATTGCTTCTGGCAACGTGCCTCGATTTCTTGCAAAGTATCACGCTTGACTGTATTTTGCAGCGTCAATTTGCCCACATCTTGAGCGAGTGCTGCACTACTCATCTTGCGCAGCAGATGCCTAATGATGGCCGTCGTTTGGCTTGTCGGCTTTTGTGTGCAGATGCAGGTCGTCGTCGTCCCTTGATTTCTTCTGGCAGATTTGAGCGTGAGACCACAAACGACGAGCAGAAGAATTTGTGAGCGCCAGCAACTTGCCCCTACCAAGACTACTAGTACTATTACTTGCATACATCAGTGTAGGATACGAGCCGAGGTGGCGGATGAAAGAGGACATGCTGTTGACGGTCCCTGATTATCCTATCATTCACAGACCTGAGCAGACAAGGACTCCTTGAGGGTCCCCATGTTGAGCACGAATACACTGAGACTTTCTAAGCCAACGCGCTTCCTCTTTTGTCACCATCTCTTCGCTCGATGCTCAGTTACTACGAACCCCCGAAACTTCTACTTCTGCCTACCTTTGTTCTTTGAAATACGATGTGTAGTTCTGGTTAGAAGAAGAATGAGAATCGCCTCCTCATACGGCTGCTGCGCCAAACTGATTTTAGTGGCGGCTTGAGAGGATGCTTGCGTTTGCACTCAGCAACAGAAACTGTCTTGCCCTTCTCGGGAGACGCTTGATGCTGGCTGCCTACATTATATATATGCTCGTAATACTGTTCACGCTTCATCCATAGCGTCAATCATTTCAGCGTCCAGCCGTTCCTTGTGTAGCACGAATCGACAGGTCCCTTTATCCCCCACAAATGTCATGTTGGATGGTGCCTGCAAAATATCATAGGCAGAGTGTATCGCCTTGGTTACCGCTCTGCCATTATGTGTGACGGCCAATGCAGACTTGATTTCCATTAGCGCTTGTTCATCCATCTCCATGTCGAGCGTCGTATACTGCCGATTGTTCAAATAGAGGTCTAGTAAGTCTTCCTGTGTCTCCTCTAATTGAACCTGAGAAATATGCTGAAGCGGAAAGGAACATGGTTCTTGGCGCAAGCGACAAGCAAGAGACAGGCACGCCTGCGCAATGCCATGAGGCGGTACCTTGTGCGGCGCGTAGGTCTTGTAGCTATCTGCGCACAGTTGCCAAGCAAGCCAAGTTGTCTCCTTTGTCACTTTATGATGTCGCGCGAATTTGATGAGAGGTGCTTGTGGATGACGTGCACGAAAGTCAAAGCAATGGACTTCTAGTATCATGCGCTCGAGTCCAAGTAATCGTTTTCGTTGTTCTTCCAGAGTTGCAGAATCGGGATTCAAGTCCGGGCCTTGTGGATGCCGATACGCATAGACTGCAGTGAGAATGTCTTTGGCTTTTTTGCTTGTATCTTCCATCTTCGAGGCAACGAATAGACATGCAGAGGCGACGTCCTGCTGTTAGACCATTCGTCAGGTTATGGAGGCCTTACGTTGGAGTTGAAGTCAGAGATGGCGTGAAATAGATGGAAGCGTGTATAGAGCATCATGGCTGTTCCGATCGACCTGACAGGGCTGTAAGAAGGTTAGTATACGTGGAAGGAAATGAGCTTTGACGCACAACTGTAGAGTGCGACCGACTGCTTGCATCCAACAGCATGCCGAAAGACGAAGTTGAAGTTCCTTGGACTCTGTGGTCTGCAATAGCCTGATACGCGTTGAGAGCGTTTCAATCTGATATTGAGTCAGGTACGGATGGGATAGATGAACAGCGACTGGGAATGTCGTCGTCATAGTAAAAAGCAAGCAGCTTAGACAAAAGACACTCTAGCAGCACAAGGACAGATAGCAGCAATCAAGGCTCCGAGTATAGCTCAGCAGGCCTTGTAATGGAGAGGTTTATAGAGCTGTGTATAGAAGTGTCTGGTTGTCTTTCTCTCACGAGCGGCAACAAATAGGAGAGACTGCCCACGCAACCACGTAACCATCTTGACACACTCTCCATCTAGCTGCTACAAGAGTGACTGCTGAGACTTGAGCGATGGAAGGCCAGCAGGATCAGCAACAGCTGACGCCGGAGCAGCAGCAACAGCTGCAGGCTGCACAACAGCAGATGGAAGACCTGCGTTCTGAGCCATTCAAAAAACAGGCGCTGGAGCTGGCTCAGTTCCTACGGCACAATGCATTGCTCAAGAACAAGTCTGGCGTGCTGGACGGCAAGCGTGTTGAGTACTTCAAGGGTGCGCTGGCCTCAATGAACCAGTACACTGCTAATGATAAGGCAAAAACGCACTCAAGGCTTTGCAGAGCGATGCATACCAAGCATTGAGCGCCAAGAACCCTACACTGCCCAAAATCACAAACTTGCAGGAAGCAGGGGAAGCGATGCGCTTGCTACCGATCCATCTGCTCGCGCTACGCGTTGATTTATTAGAAAAGGAGAAGGCCAAGAAGGGTGCTTCGCAAGCGAAACCATCTCGCAAGGTGCAGATCAACCGTCAGCAAGAAATCAGCGAAGAGCACAGCTACGTCTGGTTCTATGAGTACATCCCTCTGACCACCAAACTGGCTGGTCTAGGATTGCTTGTGATCGTCTTGCTCATCATCATGTACCCCTTGTGGCCCACACGCATGCGTTTCGGTGTCTACTACCTCTCCTGGATCGCTCTGGGCTTCGTGGCTTTGCTCATGGCTATCGCTGTTGTGCGTCTCATTCTCTACCTCATCACCATGTTTGCTGCACCTCCAGGAATTTGGCTGTATCCTAATCTGTTTGAGGATGTCGGTTTCTTTGACAGTTTCAGGCCTCTCTGGGCTTGGCATGAAGACAAGGCTGCCATCAAGGAAGCAAAGCGTGCAGCAAGAGAGGCGAAATTGCAAAAGCGCCAGCAAAAGGTCAAGGAAGGTGGTGCTTCCGCCATCGGCAGTCATTCATCGCCTGCAGGTTCAGTGAAGCCGAGGGCAGCATTCATCGAAGAGGTCAGCGAGTAGACGTAGCTTTTATCTGGATGCTACCGTAGCTTTTAATCTTGTGCCAAGCTTTCGTCAACAACAATAACAATTTACTGTTCACGGCCCAAGCTGATACTTGAGACAGAGCTTCAATGGCACGAAAGCACGTCATCAGAAGCTTGACTTCCTCCTTCCTTATTTCCCCGAGTCAGGGTCCAACGGGAAGGTTGCAGACGTGGGATGGGTGCCTTCACTGCCATGTGTCGCGCGATGTCGGCAACTGCCTACCAGATGAAATCGAGGAGAGATGCAATCAACCAAAGCACACATACCATCCATGCGACATACAGATGGAGGAAGGCAAGCAGAGTGCAGCAGATGCACTGACAAGAACAGCATCAGAATCAACATTGACCGTTCCTGCTCCAGTTCCCAAGAAACAAGTTCCACTTTGGCGAAGAATATGGGACGATAGCTGGTTCCTATGCGGCTTTGCGCTTGTTATCGTTGTTGGCCATCTGGCGCCGAATGTAGCACGGAGAGGAGGTGTATTGCGGACAGAGTACACCTTCAGCTATGGAGCCCTCGCTCTCATCTTCCTCATCTCGGGCCTTACAATGCCGACGGCGCTGCTCTTTGCAAATCTCAAGCGGATACGATTGCATGTGATTACACAGAGCATGAGCTTCCTCATTGCGCCGGCCATCGCGTTGGCCATTGTTCAATGTATTCGTGCGTCAGGGACAACGCAAATACCAACACTGGTCCTTGCCGGCTTCATGATTATGATTTGCACGCCCACAACGGTCGCGAGCAATGTGACTTTTACGCGCGCGTCTGGGGGAGATGACGCTGCTGCCCTCATTGAGGTGACCATCGGCAACCTCTTTGGCATCTTCATCTCCCCTGCGCTTGTGCAACTCTTCCTGCGCGATTCTCTCGGGCTGGGCATCGCAAAGCCCAAGGGCGATGTGACACAGCTATATCTCGAGCTCATCAAGCATTTTGGGCTGGCCCTCTACCTGCCTCTTGTCGTTGGTCAAGTGATCCAAAATATCTATCCAGGACCTGTGAAGAAGGTGAGCAACGCTCTCAGACTTACAAAGTGGGCGAGCGTATGCCTGCTGCTTCTCTGTTGGATGTCCTTTTCAGATGCATTTTACCATGGTGCCTTCAAGGCACTGCCAGCAGCCAGTCTCATCACCATCGTTTTTGTCAATTTGGGCCTCTACCCATTTCTGACACTCATCTGCTTCTTGGCGTGCAGGCCGCCATATTTGAGAAAGTGGCATCTCGATAGGAGAGCAACAACGGCCGTTTGCTTCTGCGGTCCGCCAAAGAGCATCACCGTTGGCATTGTCCTGCTGCAGGTACAGTTTGCTGGCTTCTCGCCTATCGAGCAAGCCATCTTCACCATCCCACTCAGCTTATATCAAGGTCAGCAATTAGCCCTTGCGCAGGTCTTTGTTTTGGCCTTTCGTCGCTGGAATAGAGGGGCAGACAAGGACAAGAAAGGGAGTCGAGTAACGTCTATGTAATGATAAGTCTCTAAATGTTCTCTGCATCCTTCAAGTCATAATCCTTTGCCTCGAGCTCGACCTTCTTGGTCTCAACGTTGACCTGCTCAGCAGTAGGTACCGCGGGACGCTCCTCGCCCTGTGACTTCTTGCCAATTTTCTTGTCGGCCAGCTCTCTAGCCGCCCGCTCCGCCTCGATCCTCTTGTTTTCCTCCTCAAAGTAGCGACCACGGATGGGACCAGCCAAACGCTGCAAGTCCTCAAGCTTTGCGACATACTTGGCCTTCTTGGCATCTTCACCCTCATCGTAGAGCCAGTCCTCAACCTCCATGAGCGCCTTGTTGAGCTTCTCCTTCTCTTGCTCACTTGCGAAAGGTGCCCATTCGTCTTCGAGCTTGCTGCGGACAGAGTAAATGTGCTCCTCAAGTGCATTCTTGCGGTCTTCTGTCTCAAGCACGATCCTGTCAGTCATGGTCATTTGCACTTCTTGCTCCTGGAAACGTGCTTTGGTTTGTGCGTCCAATGAACCAGAGGCAGAGACAACAGTAAGCTTATCATCTGTGCGCAACATCTTCTTCACAAGACGTGTCTTGGGCTTAGGGGGCTCTTCCACCTCTGCATCTGCATCTGCATCCGGCATCTCAGAGTCAGCCGACTTGGGCTTCTCCTCAACAGGTGGCAACTCAGACTCAGGAATAAGCTCCTCGACCTCCTTCTCAGCAACAACATACGCTTCCTGCACAATCAATGTACCGTGCAAGTCCAAACGAGACTTGACCTTGACGATGCTGAAGTCACCTTCGCTGTTGGGCTTGACACCCTTGATGGTGTAGGTGCCAATCCACGGCTGTGTCTTGCCAGGCAATGCACTTGCATCAGCGTATTTCGCCGTGAGGGTAAAGTCCTCCTTTCGGTAGAATGTCATAATCTTGGTGCAAGGAACGACATTGTTCTTGTTGAAGACAAGCAGTTCTGGGTCTTCATCCTTGATTTCTGGCGATTTGTCCCATGAGAATTCAATACCATAGGGAGTCAAGTCGTGCACGGCAAAGTCGCGCACACGCAAAACAGGAGAGAGGATGGCGCAACCAAATGCACAACCACGCGCAACAGCCTCGTCCTGGTTGAGTGTGAAGGAAAGAGTCTTGCCAAAGAAGGCAGCGATGCGTTCCTTGACGGCAGGGACACGCGTGCATCCACCAACCATCTCAACAGCCTCGATATCCTCAATTGTCAAACCAGCATCAGCAAGAGCACGCTCGAGAGGCTCTGTAGCGCGGTCAAGAAGGGGTTGTACGAGTGCCTCGAGTTCGTCACGCTTCATCATTGCTGAAACATCCACGTCATTCATGATGCTCTCAACAGAGATGGGCGCCTGCAAATTGGCAGACAGAATCTTCTTCATCTTTTCAACAGCAGCAGTCAATCGGAACATGGCCTTTGGGTTGGACTGCAGGTCGAGCTTGTACTTGGCGGAGAATTCTTTTGCAAAGTGGTCCACAAGGGCACGATCAAAGTCACGTCCACCAAAGTGACGGTCGTATGCGGTCGACTTGACGTTGAGTTGTCCTTTCTTGTAGGCAACGATGGCAACGGAGTAGTTGGAGTGACCAATGTCGCAAATGGCGAGGTACCGAGGCTTGTCTTCAGGCAAATCAGTCTTGGTGATTCCGTAGCCGAGTGCTGACGCGGTTGTGTCGTTCATGAGACGCAGAGCGTGAAGGCCAGCAATATCTGCTGCATCAAGCACTGCTTTACGCTGCACATCGGTAAACCATCCTGGTACAGAGATGACCACATCTGAGCATGGCATCTTAAGCTCAGCCGTGGCAGTCTCCTTGATCTTGGTCAAGAATGCGGCAGTCAGTTGAACAGAAGAAAAGATGCTCTCCTCGCCCAGGTAGTTGACCTTGACACCGACACCACCGTCAATGTCAATCAGCTCAGATGAGATGTATTTGCTCTCAATTTCCTGGATCTCTGGGTCATCAAACCGTCTACCAATGATACGTTTCAAGCTCCCAACTGTGTTCCTGAAGTTTGAAATCTCGTTCGTCTTGGCTGGCTCTCCGAGTGTCCTTGCCTTTGGGCCGAAGCCTACGAGTGTCGGTGTAGCGCGGTTAGAGACTTCGTTTGTGATGACATCGATACCGCGATTGCGGGCCACTGCAATGACGGTCGTTGCAGAGCCGAGATCGATTCCAACAACAGACATGATTGATGTGTATCTACGTGTCTAGCTTTCCGTTCAGGGATGAACTTGCTGCTTCGTCTCTCAAGCTGCGTCGCAGAGGAAAAAAATGTCGTTGCGCGCAGCCAAGTCACGTGTCTGACGACTTCGAGAAGGTTCGAGGCGAAGATGGACTCTACCCAGAAACTACATATACTAGATCTATGGATTCAGGCTAAGCAGCGATAAGAGCCGTGAGCTGTGAAGACTGCTGATACTTTGATCGACTCTTGAAACGTCTTGTTGTACGCAAACTCGGCTGAGGATACTCAAGCCACTCGGCTGTACTAGTAAATACTCTGTCAAGTGCTTGACGTTCCGCGTGAATGAGAGCAGAGCTTCGACGAATGCTACTTTCCTGAAGATAGAATCCAATATCTAAATCCTGGCGACAAGGGTCGAGTCAAGTCATTTCGAAATGGAATAGATTGATGACCAAGTCGAGTGCGATGCTGGTCCATGGTTCTTGGGCAGCAACGTCGCTGCCTTATCTTATCGCAACCAGAGAGGGCAGATGCGTTTACTGCCCTCTGCTGAACTTGCCTACAGCAACCACTTTCTACCGTCAACTATTTCCGTTCGTTGCGGCCTACGGCTGCTATCTCTGCTTTGGCCTGCGGTCTCACCATTGCTTGACCATACTCATTCGCAACGCTGCAATCCAATGCATTCCGAGGCCTTCGCTCGCTACACAATGAGCTGGCCCGTTCCTCCGAGCCCGCTGACTGTGTCATTTCACTAGGCGTCTGGTCAATGAAGTATACCGCAAGATTCGCATGACGCCTGGTGTCTGAGACCTTGCTGAAAATACAAGATCTTCGCAGCTGATTGCCTGAAATGACACTTCTTTTCAAATACGAAAATGTCGACTCACTCAGTCGAGTGAGTTGTCATTGACTCATGGCGGAAGACAATGCTTCGACCACTTCAACTAGCCTACTGATGCGGCCTACGATTGTGAACCTTTGAAAACCGTCTATAGTAAATCACAGGCGCTTACAAGCGATAGCCGATCAAACATAAATATACTAATTGGCGCTTGTTTGTGCAATATCATAGGGAACAACCATCCGTGACCACGTCCAAGGCAGGTCAACACCCGAGTCCATGTCTCCTGCGACGCGAGTGCATGAGAACATTGAGAAGCATTGCCCGGTCGCGCGGTGTTTCTAGAATGTCTTGGGTGTGCGTGGTTTGCTGCCTGCGCTGCGAATCAAATTCTCGCCTCTGCGCCATCCCGACCCGCTGGAACATCGCCATGCTGGCCCACGCTCACCGCACAAAACACCACGATGATGCTCGGGCATCGACATTGACGCTGGATGCTGCTGTTGCAAGTAGCTGAGAGGGGGGAAGATAGTGCTGTTTGAGAAGAAGAGCGTCACAACGAGAGACCCTGGCCGTGGTCTCAATTCTGACTCGCAACGCTCATTGAGTGTCGGATCTGCCGTCTGCCCCTCTTAGCAAGTTCGATACCATGCTCTCTGCCAGGGACCCCCTCTGCTTCGCTCATCCGCCCGTTGTCTTCAATGAAGGCTTCTTCCAAGGGCATTTGGCAGGCAGTCCCACGCACTGTTCCACTTGACCACGAGATCCACATTTGAGATGTACAGCGCCTCAACTCCTCTGAGTCCTCCCAAGTTACCATACTTTCAATGGACTGCCGATGCGGCCAGATTCCCCGTGACTGGGCATCTCTAGCGAATTGTATCGTGCGGTCGCCGTTTGAGACCTTCCATGGTGTCTGATCCTGCTTCACAGTCAGAGCGGCCTGGCGGCCGGCAACCGCCTGAGATCCCTTGCGGCAGACTTTGACCACTCAATCACTCAAGCAGTAGCGTGGCAGCCCTTGCTCACCGGTCATCACGAGAAATCATTGGAGACGGAGCAGTCTCTGAGTTTCGCGAGTCGCGACATACGACTCATGTCGGACCGCCCTGGTGCACCTCACCTGTCTAGCGCTATTAACTTTCAGACAGGTGGCTCAGGATAATATCGGGTAGCGGTAACGTGGATCAGAGAGCCTGCGAAAAGGCAGCGCTCTTCCTCGCCCTTCGTGATGCGCACATCCTGGACCAAGCGGGCATCTTGGCTAGTTGGCGCAGGACTCTTCTTCACCTCGACCTACATTTTGTACATATCAAGCAAGTCGACATCTTTCACGAAGATGGCGTAAGGATCGGACAAGCACTTGAATCGATCGACGATAAGCGGACGCGACATAAGCAGCGGAAGAAGCGTGGTGCAGTGCAACGACATACGATCTCGACAAACAGAACAACAAGAAGGCTACGTGAAGAACACTTGAAACGTTGTTTTGCGCAGTTGCAACAGTTCAGGGAGCGTGTACGGTGGCCCCGACACATTTGAAGAAGCTCTGTTACTCCTTTTGCTGCGAATTCCGTTGTTCCTCTAGCGATCTACCTTCGCAAATCCATTTTCAGCCAACGTAACGCCTGCCCAAGCCGTGTTGATAGAACAGAGGTTACTGCCTGTGCTTTGGTGATCATCCGGCATCTTGTATGGACCGTTTCTCAGCCAGCCGCCAGTCTCTAGCCTTTCGCCGACCCATCTCAGCTGCCCCTGGCACACCGCCCATCGCTGAACTCGCTCGTGCTCAGTCTGGGTGTCACACTTGCGTGGCGAGAGGAGTTCGATGTTCTGAACAAAAGCCAATCTGCAGGCAATGTGAAGATCATCAAAGAGCTTGCAAATGGTCAGAGGCTGAACCCAGGTTTACACCTACACTGCTACGTAAGTCCATTGCCAGTCTCGAGACAGAGTCTCTAATCCTCTCAGCAACACCAAAGCTCGGCAGAACACCGTCACCCCCAGAACACGCACGAAAACGTGTCAAGCGAGCGAGTCCAGATTACACTTACGGTCAGGGGCCAGAATTATTTAACAATGCCATGGAAGGCAGACGAAGTGACGGTCCTCTTCTCCCTGCCCATCCATCAGGCCATCCGGTCTTCACACGGAAAGTCTCACCTAAGACAAGGCGTGCTGAACCGCTTACACCCAACAGCAAGGCCCGCAGCAAGACGAACTCGCTGAGCTCAACTCTCTCTACTGCATCCACTGCGATGTTGGTTCCAGACGGCAGCTATTCACCCAAGAACTTGGCTGGCAGAGTCTTGCCTACAGCACCAGACCAACAACGCACAAAGCTCGGCAGCATGGCATGGCCCACACGCTCCCTCCTACGGATTGAGCCAGTCTCCCACAATTCAAGCATGCTTTTTCGTCCTGATCTTGGTGGCGACCGCCGCTCCTCGCAGTTACTGTGTCCTCCTCCGATGGATCTCCATGCATACTGCAACGCTAGGAGAGGCAGTCAGACAAGTACGACGCTAGGTCTTCTACGCAAGACGTATCTGGCGCGCTTCACTTCCGGCTGCTTCGACATGGCCTTTCTCAAGAATGAAGGTGAAGGATCTGGCGCAGGTGCCTTTTCCAACCTCGTGATACCTCTCTTTGACGAGATTGACGGCGACACTGCCACGTTACTGCAAGATCCCATGCGACTACAAGACTCACTCGAATGCAGTGTCTTCCAAGAAGCATACGTTCTTTCTCTTCGTCGGCCTGCTGCGCATAACGATCCTCAGACTGATATTTTGAGACGATGGATTGCTGCCCTTTTCCTTCTCAGCATGTCATTAGAACGCGGCTTGGACTCACACGCTCTGCACCATGCAAGTATGGCAATCTTTTGCTTCAAATTGCTTGACGTCAAGGCTCGCTACACAGGCGATCTCCGCAAATCGCTTGACGCGTCTTTACTGTTCCTCAGTGAAGCAACGTTCCGGTATTGTGCAAATGTTGCTTTACTGACTGGTGAGCGTTGTCCGATTGAGGTGTCTGCCTTGCCCGTGCCTATTCACCCTCTCGATCAGCTGATGCAGCAAACTGTGGCTCAACGCTTACAAGCGTTTGACCTTCTGAAACAGCTTGCTGTAGCGACGCTTCCACCGGATCGCAGCGGGATTGCCCGACGCCTCGAGACAACTTTGGCCGAACTCATGGCTTGTGATCGTCAAATTGATCGCATCCCGGCTCGACGTCTGCCTCCTAGCCCCCAACAGTCATTTGGAAGTGTTGGGTATGAGGGTACTGGCTGGACCGTTGCAGCAATGCAAGTCGTTGTGGTCAAAGTGCTCATCACGAGTATCGTGGATGGCTTTGATCGCGAGTCATTGCTAGTGCAGTACTTTGCGATGCTGGATTCATTGATCATGACACTGGCTTCGCCAACACAAGTCAAGGTCACGCTCGACACGACTGGCCTCTTACTACTCGGTGCCATGATCCAAGTGGATGCGCAACGAGGATGTTTGCTGGAACTGCTGCAGCAAGCACACGCACGAGATCTCGGAACGGCGTTACGGTTGACGGACGCAAAAAGAATCTTGCAGCATGTATGGCATTTGCAAGATTCAAAAGGAACCCTAGATGCAATACCAAACTCTCCCTATTCAGCGGCATTTCTCCGAGATATCTCGATCATTCGAGATGTCCAGGTGGTGTATGGCGATGTGATGGGCGAACGACGGGGCTTGATTGTCCCATGATGAAACGACGATGAGGCCGAGCATTGATGACGTCCCTGTAAATAGCACCTCTGTACACTTCTATGTACTTAATCTTCAGCATGTTCAGCTAATCTTCAACATGTTCAGCTCATCAAAGTCGCGAATTTGGAGTCGCGAAAAGTGAATTTGAATTTGACTGCAGACAAGCGACAGACGCGACTTGTGCAACGGCCAACGCACTCTGCATACCCAATTGCAAAGGCACCAGCCATGAACGACCTCCCAGTCTTCCAGGGTATGCTCAGCTGACAATGGAAGCATCGCTGACATGCAGATGAGGTGTTTCTGACGCGTGTGCGTACTTTCGAGGAGTACCTCGACCATACTGCAACAAGCACATACAGCGCAGACCAGGTCAACTACCGCGATGCCATTTTGCGCATGCTCAATACACAATCACGAAGGCTCGTCGTCAACCTGGATGAGATTCGCGACTATAATCGGGAACTCGCGCGAGGGTATGCTCTGAGGAAGGACACAAGCCAGTAAGCTAACTGCAGAATCCTCATGAGCCCTGCTGAATACCTCCCAGCCTTTGACAAGGCTCTCAAGAACGTTGTCCTGACTTTGCGCGACCCGACACGCCACAAAGTAGACGACCAACCTTTTTACGTTGCCTTTGCTGGCTCCTTTGGGGAAAACCACGTCAACCCCAGGACATTGCGTGCCATGCATCTTGGCCGCCTCATATCGATGGAAGGTATCGTCACGCGATGCTCCCTTGTGCGGCCCAAGGTGGTCAAGTCTGTCCATTACTGCGAAGCCACAAAAGAGTTCCTATCACGCGAATATCGAGATGCGACTATGGGCGATGGCATTGCAGGACCGAGTGTCTATCCGACAGAAGACCGTGACGGCAACAAACTCACGACCGAATACGGTTACTCTACTTACCGTGATCATCAGACCATCAGCATTCAAGAGATGCCTGAACGTGCACCAGCTGGTCAGCTGCCTAGAAGTATCGACGTGATCATGGATGATGACTTGGTTGATCGATGCAAGCCTGGAGACCGTATCCAGCTGGTGGGTGCCTATCGATCTTTGGGAGGAGGCAACGGCTCTGTTGCTGGGACATTCACGACGCTCCTACTTGGCAATCATGTTGTCCTCCTCTCGAGCAAGTCAGGAGGTGGTATTGCACAGCAACAGATGTTTGATCTTGATATCCGCAACATCAACAAGATTGCAAAGAAGAAGAACATCTTTGAGCTTGTCTCTCAGTCCTTGGCACCCAGTATTTACGGTCATGACTACATCAAGAAGGCTATTCTGCTCATGTTGCTCGGAGGTATGGAAAAGAACCTCGACAACGGTACCCATATCCGTGGTGACATCAATATTCTCATGGTGGGTGACCCCTCGACTGCGAAATCTCAGATGCTGCGATTCGTCCTCAATACAGCACCACTGGCCATTGCCACTACTGGCAGGGGTTCGTCTGGTGTGGGTTTGACTGCAGCTGTCACAACCGACAAGGAGACTGGCGAACGTCGATTGGAAGCCGGTGCCATGGTGCTCGCTGATCGTGGCGTTGTGTGCATCGACGAGTTTGACAAAATGTCTGATGTCGATCGAGTCGCCATTCACGAAGTGATGGAGCAACAGACAGTGACCATTGCCAAGGCTGGAATTCACACTAGTTTGAATGCGCGATGCTCAGTCATTGCTGCTGCCAATCCCGTCTATGGACAATATGATGCGCACAAAGACCCTCACCGCAATATTGCATTGCCGGATTCGCTTCTTTCGCGGTTCGACTTGTTGTTTGTTGTTACCGATGATATCGACGATGCACAAGATCGTCGCATCTCGGAGCACGTCTTGCGCATGCATCGCTACCTGGCTCCTGACATGGAAGAAGGCCAACCCGTGCGTGAAGATGGCGGCCAATTGCTTGGCGTTGGAGGCACAGATACTTCCACAGAGGCTGAACAGGCCTCACCCGTCTTTGAAAAGTACAATCAGATGCTGCACGCTGGTGTAACTTATACGAATCGTCGCTCAAAGCAAAAAGAGGTGTTGTCCATGGCTTTTGTCAAGAAGTACATCCAATATGCAAAAACGCGTATTCGACCTGTCCTGTCCAAGGGAGCAGCCGACCACATTGTCTTGACGTATGGTAACTTGCGAAACGACGAATTGGGCGCGAATCAACGCAAAACAGCCCCAATGACTGCACGTACGCTCGAGACGCTCATTCGACTTGCAACGGCGCATGCCAAAGCGAGATTGTCGAATCGTGTGGATCCGCGCGATGCTGAGGCTGCAGAGGAAATCTTGAGGTTTGCTTTGTTTAAGGAGGTCGTGCAAGTAGACCGGCGGAAACGTCGACGAACGACACCAGAGGGTGGCGAAGCGATGGACGAGGATGACTCGGAGGATGATGAGGAAGAAGAGGAGGAAGTCGCACCACAAAGTCAACGAAGCACAAGACGTGCAAGAGCTGCTGCGGCGTCCTCTGCTCCTGTTGCAGACGCTGCTTCTGATGATGAGATGGATGGACCTGCCACTGCGGCCGCTGACGAGGAGGACGAGGAGGAAGAAGAGGCTGCGGCGCCTTCCAGCGGACCCGTGCTTAGCGATGCGCGGTACAAGCAATTCGAAAATCGCCTTGCACAGCTCATCAGCACTCCGGTGTTTGCGGACGACACATGCACAACAGAAGATCTGCTGCCGGAGATGAACAAGACGCTGCCGGCCTCGGACTTGTTTAGTGCTGGTGAAATGGCGGTTGCCCTGGAGAAGATGACTGCCCTCAACAAGATATTTGCGTCTGGTGGTGTCGTGTACAAGGTATAGACTGCATGTTTCTGTGTCCCTAGCCCAGGCCTGCTCTTCTCTTGCACTGAGTTGTATCTGATTGTATTCAGTTGTCTCTACTATTAATTCCGCTGACTCATCCCCTGCCCCTGGAAGCACGTGCCTCTCCCGTCGTACGACCCGCGAAAAACAAAAAATCAAATCAGGAAGCGATCAAGACACAAGACGCTCTCATCTTGTATACACCCGCGGGCCTCTGTCTTCTTCTCATCGCCTCGGGTAGAGTCTGATCCTGGGCACCCTCATTCTCCTTCAGCACCATTCTTTCAATTTTCACACATGTCCGCCAACGTCACCGGCTCCTTTCCCCCCGTGTCCCCCTCAGGAGGCATTGTCTCCCGCCTCCTCGACGGCATCAACGGTTGGACACTCATTTTGAGTGCCGTTGCTGTCATTCTCGTCGCTGAGCAAGTCCGCTATCGTAACCGGAAGCAGGGCATTGCCGGCCCGGCCTTCACCATCCCAATCATGGGCGCGTTTTTGGACTCGATGCACCCGACTTTCGAGGGGTACTTTAGCAAATGGGAGTCTGGCGCACTCTCCTGTGTCTCTGTGTTTCACAAGTACGTCCCCAAGATATCTCGGCATACTAACAACCTAGGTTTGTGGTGATTGCATCAACAAAAGACCTTTCCCGCAAGATTCTTAACTCGCCCATGTATGTCCAGCCCTGCGTGGTGGATGCTGCCAAGAAGATCCTGATGAAGACCAACTGGGTCTTCCTTGATGGTAAGCCGCACGTCGAGTACCGCAAGGGTCTGAACACGCTCTTCACGCGCAAGTCACTGGCTCTCTACATCCCTGAGCAGATGGCCGTGTACGAGCGATACTTTGCCGAATTTCTCAAACTCTCAGAGATGGAGCCTGTGGCTTTCATGCCTCACTTCCGCGACCTGAATGTGGCCGTCTCCTGCAGGACCTTCTTTGGCTACTGGATCAAAGATTCGCAGATCAAGCAAATCTCCGAGGATTACTGGTACATCACTGCTGCTATGGAACTCGTCAACTTTCCCTTGGCTTTGCCTTACACCAAGGTCTGGTACGGTATCCGTGCTCGAAAGACGGTCATTGCTGCCTTTGAAGAAGCTTCCGCCTCTTCACGTAAAGCAATGCTGGCCGGTGAGAAGCCGACATGCATGGTGGATCAGTGGATTGTCAGTATGATTGAGGCACAAAAGTTTGCCAAGTCCGGTGGCGACAAGGCTGATATGCCAGCGTCTGTGCTCATTCGTGACTTTTCCGACAATGAGATTGCTCAGACCATGCTGTCCTTTTTGTTTGCCTCGCAGGATGCCACTTCTTCTGCCATGTCGTGGCTCTTCCACTTGCTTGCCGACAACCCAGACATTTACGGCAGAATTCGTCAGGAGCAGCTCGATGTGCGTGGCGGCGACCCAAGCAAGGCAGTGGATATGGAGATGTACGACCAAATGACACTGACCAAGGCGGCTGTGCGCGAGACGTTGCGTTTGCGACCACCTGTACTCATGGTCCCGTACCAAGCAAAGAAGGACTGGAATGTCACGCCAGAGTACAAAGTTCCCAAGGGTGCCATGGTGATTCCCACATTCTGGCATGCCTTGCACGATGAACAGGCCTTCCCTGATCCTCATGCCTGGGTGCCTGAGCGATGGATTTCTGGTACTGCGAATGCATCCCCACAAAACTGGCTCGTGTTTGGTGTTGGTCCTCACCACTGTCTTGGTCAAGCATATGCCATGGAGCACTTGGCCCTTGCTGCGGGTCTTGCTTGTCTCAAGTTTGACCTCACTCACCACAAGACAGAGGTGAGCGAGAACATCAAGATTTTCGCCACCATCTTCCCAGAGGACGATGTTGTTCTTTCTTGGCGCAAATCCGAGCATCACTGCTAGAGAAGCCGATTCAATCGGCGTTGACCCAGTGTTTGTATTCTTACATAGACTTATACCGTTAGTGCCGTTTATGCTTCTTCTTGGTGAATGCATCGTAACTGCTCTGGCTTTTCGAGGAGGCGGAAGAGCCCTTGCCCTTGCGCATGTCCAGTTCATCCTCGGAATCTTGAGTCGCTCGAGCATGCTTCTTGGTAATCTTGCTTTCTTTCTCATGCTGTGCAGCTTGACGGGCTTTCGTCTGCTGTGCCAGTCGCCGTTTCAACTTGAGTTCTTCAAGTGATAGCGTGGCAGATTGACCATCGTCGTCGGTTTTACTGGGCAAATGACCCAGACCGGCTCGTACAGCAGGTCGTGGTTTGAGACGTATCGGTTCTTCAGGTGCATCTGTCTCTGCATGAGGTGGAAGCCAGGAAGCGACAACCTGGCGCGCGAGATTGATAGAAACACCGATTTGAGTTTGTAATCGGGCAGCTTCTTCTTGAGAACGAGACTGAGACATGAGTCTCTAGTGGAAGTGTGTTTAAGAGCAAAGAAGGTAGCAGACAAGAGCCTTCCAAGCAAGTTCAAGATCAAGGTCAAGCTGTAGTCTGGTTCTCTGGCTGTCTCCTGTTTCTGTTCCTGACTTTTTGATCCCACGCAGACAGCAGACAGCAAACCAACATACTCCTGCCGCCTGGGACGGCGCAAGGGCGGCCAGGTCGACGGATCGTACACAAGTAAGGGTGGCCTGGCGATGTTTAGCAAGTTCAAGGACTCCTTCAATGCTGGACTCGCACAGGCAGGTGTGGATGCCGCGCGACGCAACCAGTCTCCGCGAAATAGCACATCTACAGATAGGCCTTCACCCGCTACGGTAGCTGCTCCTGCAAAGAATACAGCATCAGACAATAAGAAGGAGGATGGATCGTTTGAGGAGAATCTCGATGCTGATTCTGAGGCAGAGGAAGAAGAGACAGCCCCGGCCAAGGCGGATACACCTGCTGCAACGACCGGCTCGGCGCGCACCAGTGTAGATGATGCATCGCGTGCTCCCGCAGCACCCGCAGACTTGCGTAAGAAGCTACGCAAGCTAGACAAATACGAGGAGAAGTATCCAGAGCTTTTGACGGCGTATCGCGCTTTGCAGCAGCAACAGCAACAAACCATTCAATTCGAGCAAGTTTTGAGAGACTTGACGCCTGCAACAACGGTTGCTGATGTAGAGGCCTTTCAGCAATGGGCTGGCAACTTTGCATTGAAGACAGAGATGTCTATGGAAGAGCTGCGTCGCGTTTCTGCGGAATTGCAAGAGGCAAAGAAGGCACAGAGTACGGCAGAGGAGCGTTGCAAGGTGCTTGAGGAATCTGGCAAGACGTCTGTCAATGATATGGTGTCGGACAATCGAGTTTCGGAATTGGAGACGCAACTTGGGCAAGAGAAGGAAGCAGAAGCTAAGCTCAAGGCCCGCATTGATATGCTCGAAGCAGCTCAAGCCCGTGCCGCCCAGGAACGCGAAGAAGCCGTTTCAGCAGTGACTGAAGAATTAACAGCGACACGCAAGCAAGTTGTCGAGCTCAAGGTAGCCCTTGCACAAGCGTTGCGTCAACAAGCATCTACAACGCAAGCATCCGCAACGCCCGCACCGTCTACAGTGGATGAACCTGAAGCAGAGACACCCTTACAGGATGGTCCACTCAGCAAGAGTCAAAAGAAGCGTCGCAACAAGAAGAAGGGCGGTGCTGGCGCTGCTGATGACAACACTAAAGTCACCGAGACCATCTCACATCCGCCGCCACAGCCTGCTGCTACTACAAATGAATCAGCGACACAACTCAGAGAGGCTCGCGATGCGCTGCAGGTCCAGCTCGATCGCTTGCAAGCTGAAGCAGACGCTTACACGGCTGAAAAGGCTACCTACGAACGACGCCTCAAGCAGCAGCGTGATGAAAAGGAAGAAATTGCAGGTCTTCGCGAAATGGTAGCAAGTGTTGGCAGCGAGCTTGTGGAAGCTCGTGATGAAGTGAAGGCACTCAAGAGTAAAGTGGCTACTGCTCAGGATAGCGCTCAGGTGGACGCTCTTACAAAACAAGTGACGGAGCAAGAGGTCACCATTGTCAATTTGAACGCCGAGCTTACACGATCTGCCAAAGAGCTAGCAATGGCCGAGAGGTTGTCGTCGGAGCGATTCAAAGAGCTGACAAGCTCAAAAGAGCTGGCGAGTAAGCGTGCTGCCGAATTGACAGATGTCAAACAACAGCTCGCTTCCTTCGCTACTGATAAGCAAGCCCTGGAAGCGCGCATCAAAGTCGCAGAGACTCGCGTTAAAGTCTTGGAACGAGGCGAACGGGATCGCAAGGATGAGATTGCTTCGCTGAAAACGTCGCTCAGCAGTCGTGAGCGTGAGCTCAAAGTCATCCAGACTGCATTCAAGGAAGAAGAAGCACGTCGGAAAGCGGAGGAGGCGCGTGGTGTTACACTGAAAGCAGAGCTCGTCAAAGTTTCCGGACTTCGAGATGCCATGGCCAGTGCGCGCGACGATGCAGTCAAGCAAGCGACTCAGGCACGACAGGAATTGGCACAAGGCAACACAAAAGTGCAAGAGATGCAAGCCTTGCGCAACAAGATGGCACAGGAGCGGGATGCAGCGCAAGAGGCCCTAGCACAGCGCGAGCAGCTCTTCGAAGATGCAGGCCAGCAAGCGAGTTCTTTGCGTGAGCAAACGGCGGATATGCAGCATCGCATGAGAGAAGCGACTGAGAGACTCGAGGCGTGTGAAGAGGAACTTGCCGAATCGCAACGGGCCCTAGGCGAGCGAGCACGAGAAGCCTCAACAATGCGGCGACTCTTGTCGGAAATGGAAGCTTCCCAGGCGTCTCGGCTTCGTGAGATGCGTGAGCGAATGGAGAAGACAAGTGCTGAACGTGACAAGGCAGAAGATGAAGCTGCGTTCCTGGGAAAGAAGCGGACACGGGAAGTAGAAGCGCTCAAAGAGCAATTGGCTGACGCTGAGCGGACACGGCGACGAGCCTTGACTGAGAAGGACGATTTGGTGGCACAAGTTGCTACACTGGAGCGCAACAAACAGGCAGCAGAGCAACTCGCACAGGAACGTGAAACAGACCTCCAAGAGCTGAAGCGGACAAGCAAGTCGCTGTCGACTGCTGTGCAAGAATCAGAACGACAATTATCACTACTAGAGGCTGAGCGACAAACCTACCAACGGCAAGGCAAGGAAATGCAAACACGTCTGGAAGCGTTGCAGTCGCAACTTCAAGCGAAAGAGGACTTGGTTGGTCGATTGAACCGCGAGCGTGGCGATTGGGCAGATGCCATGTCGCCTCTTGCTCGGCGTGGCAACAACAGTCGCGACCACTCATTTTCTATGCCACCCATGTCGCCTGGCTCACCAATGCGCAGTCCGTCGTTGCACAGTGTACAATTGTCTGATCGACCCAAGGAGAAGGCCGAGGTGGACCGTGAGTACATCAAGAATGTGCTCTTTCAGTTTTTGGAGCATAAGGAGAGACGGGCTATGCTGGTGCCGGTGATTAGCAGGCTTCTTTTGCTTACGAAGCAGCAAGAGAGCATGTTTGTGAGTGGATTTCGGTAGCAAGGCGACGTAGATGGCATATGAAGTATTTGTCTATGTGTTTTCCAGTGTCCCGAGTGGTTCTGGCCGTTGTCCAAAGTAGATCTTCTTTGTGACAATATCAACGAGTTCCAGGTTGAAGGATTCGCTAGTCTCTTTCTGTACCTGGGACGACATGATTTGGCTCGACATGACCGCGTCGTTGTCTGATGCTGATGGCGCGGCAGATGTTGGCCGTTTCAGCACGGCAAAGGGCTTTTTGAGCTTGATAAGCTTGCCCTCCATCTTTTGATAACCGACATAGAGGAATATTCTGCCATCTGGCTCCTCGACAAGCTTACCTAGCCTTGTTTCCGCTGGGTCAAGCTTCTGTATAGCACCTTGCAGCTCGAGGAAGCAGAGAGTCTGAGAGCCGGCCAGTCTAATGAAGTGGGAGCTTGAGCTTGCTTCTCCTGTTGCCAGACTGAGTGCTGGGATGTGGATGGTGGATTCCATCTAGCAGGACATGGGCTCTGTGGCAGCGTGTGTTTGTGACTGTTGGTTGGGATGTCGTCGTCGCTGCTCATCCCCAGACACGCCCAAGGTCTCGAAGGAGTCAACAAAGTAACTGGTCAAGGGCGAGGCAGCAGGCTGAAGAGCCAAACTAGCATACAGGATGGCGAGCAGGTACCAACAGCTCAATCACCAGTACTCACGGCACAACTATGGTGCGCCGGCCCCGGCCCGTAAGTCTGGCAAGAAGCAGAAGAAACAGGAGCCCCAGGCATGGAAGGACTTCATTGAGATGTTGGCCATGTCGACCTTCTTCATCTTGATCTATTGGGTGTCTCTATGGACGGCGACGGTTGCCTATACGCATCGTGTTCCGCCGATGCTGACTGTTACAACGGTACTATTGGGACTATCAATACCCGTTGCTGCCGCACTCAGCTTTCGTCGCTGCGAGATATGGTACGAGTATGGAGCACTGGAGTACTGGCAGCCGGTCAAGGATATCATCAGACAAGGCACCCGGCGCAAGGGTGTTGCAGGGATCTTGGCAGCGCTGGCCATTGCCTTTATATTTGTGGTGTATGGGCCCTTCCTTTACGGCGCCGTGTGCTATGTGGATGAGCTCGGCCAGGTTGAGGAGCATGATGACTAGAGCACCTAGCCTCTTTCTGTAGCATCATCTGTAGTCTTATTCCACATAGTTGACGGGAGAATTGTCCGACGCTGCCCGAAACTTGCGCAGAGAGCGACGTGGGATGCAAAACAGCCGGCACACAAAGCTTCAACGACTCCTTCCCCCTATTGCACGCATAGATCTAGCTCTGATATGTTTGCTGCACTCAGGTCCGCCTCAAGGCTCTCTCAGCCCGTTCTCGTGAGCAGCCTTCCAATTGCTGGCTTCATACTGACCACGGCAGCGCGCTGGGCAGCTTCAAAAGCGAAACCTCTCTATCCACGAATTTCAATCTGCGGATCTCATTCGACGTATGCTTTCAGTGACGAGAGAATCGTTTATGCTGACCAGTAGAATATGGCCTCCCCATTCCCGCCGGCAAGGTGGCCTACAGTGCCGCTGAAGCACAAAAAGTCGCTGAAGAAATTGGCTCGGAGGACTTGGTGATTAAAGCTCAAGTGCTTGCAGGTGGACGTGGTAAAGGGCACTTTGACAATGGTCTGAAGGGCGGTGTGAAGATTGTCAATTCACCCCGGGAAGCAGCCATGTTTGCTGAGCAGATGATTGGCGCCAAGCTCATCACGAAGCAGACGGGTGCTGCTGGTAAGATTTGCAACTCCGTGTACATTGTTGAGCGCAAGTACCTTCGCAAGGAGTACTACCTCGCCATGACCATGGACCGCAAGACGCAGGGACCGATGATTATTGGCTCGAGCGAAGGTGGTATGAACATTGAGGATGTCGCCAAGGAGAACCCAGATGCTATTGTCACGATGCCCGTGGACATTAAGGTTGGCTTGACGGACGACATGGCCAAGGACCTTGCCGTACGCATGGGCTTCCCTGAGAACTGCCGCGCAGATGCTGAAAAGACCTTCAAGACGCTCTACAAGATCTTCATTGAGAAGGATGCCACTCAAATTGAAATCAACCCGCTCGCAGAAACACAGGATCATGAAGTCATGTGCATGGATGCCAAGTTTGGCTTTGACGACAATGCCGACTTTAGGCAGCAGGAGATTTTCAACTTGCGTGACAAGACGCAGGAGGATCCCGATGAGGTGATTGCAGCAGAGGTTGGCCTCAACTTCATCAAGCTCGACGGCTCCATTGGCTGTCTTGTGAATGGTGCGGGTCTGGCCATGGCTACAATGGATATCATCAAGTTGAACGGCGGTGAGCCTGCCAACTTCCTCGATGTCGGTGGATCTGCTAATGCACAGGCCATTGCGCAAGCCTTTGGCCTCATTACAAAGGACCCCAAGGTCACTGCCATCTTTGTCAACATCTTTGGTGGAATCGTGCGTTGCGACCATATTGCACAAGGTCTCATTTCTGTCGTCAAGGACATGAACCTCTCCATTCCTATTGTTGTGCGGCTGCAAGGTACAAAGCAAGAAGAGGCGCAAAAACTTGTGCAAGAGTCAGGCATGAAGCTCTTCCCAGAGGATGAACTCGATGCAGCGGCACAAAAAGTCTGCAACTTGTCCAAGATTGTCAAGCAGGCGCGTGAAATCGATGTCGGTGTCTCTTTTGAGTTGCCTTTGTAGGCTTTCCGTATAGAGACTTTCTTGTGGGTTTAAACATGCTTCTTTCTTTGAAGTGCCTAATGGTTCCAGACTATCCGGCTCGAGGACTGCGTGATGGTATTCAAATTCTGTACTAAATTACTAAGGATTATCGGCGGGAGCAGGCACCCTGGCTCATGTACAAATCAGTCAGACAGAATGCTTGTATCTACGGACTCCTCCTGCCTACAACGTATAGACAAGCGCCCTTACAACTTTGCTTTTGGTGCAGCGAGCTCCGTCTCCAGCACCGCCTTCATCTCATCCGCCGCTTCCCTCAGGTAGTATGCCATCTTGTCACATCCCAAATGCCTCGAGACAATGTTGAAGTTGAGATCATTCTCATTGATCATGTAGGCAATACCGAAGCCCTCTGGGACGACTTCTCCCCAGCCGTAACCATTGAAGTGCTCTGACGAGAGCTGCGAGGAAGAAATATACCACTTGCATGAATTGGCATAAGCCGGATCCTTGTAGAGTGCCGGCAATTCAGCGCCCTTGGGCAGCAACTGCTTCAAACCAAACAAGTGACGGTCCACACCGAGACCAGCGCTCGCAGCATTGATGTACTCGCCATGCGACTTGATGGCTGCTCGGAATGCAGCGATTTGTTCAGTGACGGTAGCGGTGCTCGATGTCATGGCTTCGCAAAAGGCAACGGATTCAGTGCTCACGGAGCGACACGTCTCTGTGCGACCGTGCTGGAATCGACGGGTCGCTGCTGATTCGTATGTAGGCCTCGATTCTCCATACATCTTGTAGTAACCCAGCTGAATGACCATCTGCACAAAGGAATCGGGAGAAGACTTGAAGCGCTTGATGAGACCTTTGCCGAATCCTTGGTAGCTGAGGACTTTGAGGTCGTGCATGTCGCGCAACTCGGCAAATTGCTTCTTGGCGGCTTCAATAGCGGGCGCGACTTGCTCTGGTTGCTTGAAGGTGATCTCCTCGGGCGCTGGCAAGGATTGAGCGGTCGATGCACCGTGGTCGACTTGGTTGTTTTTGAGGACATGGCAGATAAAGTCATTGAGACGATGAGTAGGTGTGCCATCCATCATTGAGTGCTCTCCCAAGAAGCCAGATGTACCATTTGCATTCACGATGAAGTGGAGTGGCTTGTCAAAGTATCGGTTGAGACCGTCGCCGTGCCAGTAGGTGCGTGCACGGTCTTCATAAGTGACGGGCGAGCCTTCATCCAAACACACAACAAAGCTGGACTTTTCGATATCCTCAATCTGCTGCTTGTTGGACTTGAGGAGCACTTCGCGTGCTTCAAGCCACTTGTCGCGGTTCTCAGAGGTGAGTGCGCCGATAGGTACATTGGCAGGCGAGGTGGCTGTATCGAGCACTTTTTGGAACTGTTGCTGCAAATCAGCGGTGGAGAGCTGCTTGCCGTTCTTGGTGTGTGGCACTTTGAAGAAGCGTCCCTTGCGCATCGCAAGGATGAACTCCGAGTCGCCTGAGGTTGGGTACATCTTGACATAGTCTGCTTCCTGTTGTGGCAATCGGCATGCATTGAACATGTACTTGTACGAGTCCATGCAAATGGGCAACTTTTTCATGTATTCGGGCTCCAAGGTGCCCTCGATGACTTGCTTTCTGAATGCAAGAGCACCGGTCGATAAAGCAGCTGCTCGGGCCGCCTGTTCCTTACGAGTCCTGTCATCCTTGTGGGAGTAAAAGTAGGAGACATTGAAGACGACTGGATCACGGTAGGCCATGTAGGCATTGTAGTCCCACCACTCCGACAGCCAATTGGCACGTCCGGGCTCTTGCGAGCGAGCAATGAGCTTCTGCTGCAACTCGGGTCCTTCCTTCTTGAGGAACTGGGTGACTGCCCGCTTGGAGTTTTCCAGCTCATTGGGCTTCAAGAGGGGCTTGAGGGATTGGATGTAGCGGGCGGCCGTCTGCTCGAGATCGGGCACGGGCAGCTTGGGCAATGATTCTTGCCAGCGACTGTAACGTATGAGCATGCGCTAGTGCTAATAATGGGAGCCTTCACTTACAGCATGGGCCCTTTTGCATTGTCCTCTTTGTATGGGGCCGGAGGCATGGTTGCGTTTGTTCTCGTTTGTGCGAGGGTGAGTGAGGATGGCCGGATCGAGATGGTGCTTGCTCTTGCTAGGGTGCGAGAGAGCATGGGATGGGGGCCCTTGTCTTCCTGATGGATGAGTGAGTGAGTGAGTGAGTGAGTGAGGTTGAGTGAGTTTGCGGAGGTGCTTGCTACTGACTACAATTACAGTCTACAGTCAGTGCTCAGTGCTGCTGCTGCTGCTCAACTGCCGGCACACAAAACTCCGAGGACGCAACATCAGATGGGGCGACATGCCGAGGCACAATTGGGAAGAACTACATCATGCATAGATAAACAGCCATCACTGCAAATTGACAAACAAACCCCCGTCCACCAACAGCTCAGCGCCATTGACATATGCAGACATGTCACTCGCAAGAAACACAACAGGGTCAGCAATGTCTTCTGGTTGCCCCACTGCTTGTTAGTTCTGAACATAAAAACAGAGATAGGAGAGCACTCACATCGGCCGAGCGGTACACGTGCAACCATTTTGGCTCGTTTCTCGGGTACAGCCAAATCAGCTGCACTCATCGGTGTCTCAATCTGGCCAGGCAGAATGCTGTTGCAGCGAATACCATGCGGCCCAAGCGCAATTGCACAACTCTGCATCAAGCTCTTGACGGCTGCTTTCGTTGGTGTGTAGTGGCATTGTTGCCCACCACCAACCAGTGCAGAGATGGAGGAAATGCCAATGATGCTGCCACCTTGGCCGAGGCGCTTCATAGCTCTTGCAGCCTCCTGGACAAGGTAGAAAACTCCATAGTAGTTGACATCCATGTGAGATTCAAGCAGCGAGTCGCTGACTTCAAGAAAAGTCTCAAACTTGCTCAGCACGTCAGCTCAAGCTTCGGGAAGCATGATACTCACCAGATGCCAGCATTGGCAACGACGACATCCAGCTTTCCAAATGTAGTAATGGCAATCTCGACAATCGCTTGAGCTGTTTCCCGTATACGAATATCTCCAGCGACGAGTGTAGCTCCCAGCGCTTCCAGCTCTTTGATATCTCCAGATGATTGTGCATCTCCAATGTGGTGAGCCACGACTTGAGCCCCGTGTTTCAGGCACGCCTTTGCCACAGCTTTACCGATACCGGAAGAAGCTCCGGAAACAACGACCACTTTATCACGCAAGAGCATATCGTCAAGCTAGCAGCAGAGATCCAAGCAACAGCTTGAAACTCGTGCTTCCTAAAAGGTAGGGAGTGTCGTCGACATCTGAAGACCGTGTGACGACGAAGCGCGGGGCCGACTTCTCCAGACCATGCGTTTACTCGACTTGATTGATCTACGCTACAAACTGACTGTGTCTGCTTGCAATGACGAGCTGGCCAACCGAGGCCGAGGTCGGACGCTGGTGGGGTGTCCCAGCCAGACGACAGACGCGTCGAAGTATTTTTTACATCTTCATGAAGCTGCCGTGGTTCATGGCTCAGATTCCGCTCGTCGTGACGTCTTCTCTGCTTGGCTTGGGAGTCTACGGCAATCCCAAGTGGACCGTCAAATATACAATGCAAGTCTTCTTGCTGCGCAATTTGCTTGGCGCTCCACCAAACTGCACCGTGTCTATCCCGGATTGTGTCTCATTGAAAGCTCGATCCGAGGTCATTGCATCGAAAGATGGTCACAGGGAGCTAGTCATGATACCGGCTCGACCAGATCGTTGCATCAATGATGCAGTGCACGATGCAGTACAGCCAGAAGCTTGCCCTGGCTTCTGGAGCTGGGCCAATTCAGTGACATCGCCACATTCAAACACCAAGCGTGGCAAAGTCTTTCTCTATTTTGTCGGCGGTGCCTATGTTGCGGGTCATCCACTCCGTTTGGGCTTTGACCTGAGATTGTCCGAAGCGACTGGTCTTCCCGTGTTCTCCGTCAATTTCCGCAAAGCTTGCCATCTCCACCTGACGTTCCCCGCTGCGTTGCAAGATGCTGTTGCTGGTTTCTTCTACTTGCTCGATCAAGGTTACAAAGCTGAAGACATTATTGTGTGTGGCGATAGCGCTGGTGGTGGCCTCTCAGTCACACTCTGTCTGTACCTGCAAAAGGAAGGATTCCAGGTCCCAGGCAAGGCATTCCTCGTTTCGCCATGGGTTGACTTGTGCGTCAGTCAGACAACGTATAACCAGCAGCGCTTACGCCGAGACTTTCTCAAACCCGAGCGTTTAGAGTTTTGCGCCATTCAGTATACATGGCACCGAAGGCAACTCCGGCAGACCCTCCTATCGCCTGTGCATGATACGCTGCCTGAGGGATACAGTTTTAAGGGGTTCCCAAAGACGTTCATTACGTATGCCACTGATGAAGTCTTCTTTGACGAAGATGAAGCTTTTGCCAAGGTTTTGATGAAGCATGGTGTGGATGTTGAACAATTCGTTCAACCAGATGATATTCATGTGTACTGTGTGCTGCCTATGCATGGAGTCGACCGTGAAGTGTTTAAGGCGCTCAAGGTGTTTGCATTGAAGTAGCTTCTGGATAATCGACTAGACATGGGTTGATAGGCAAGAGTCAATGATTTGCAAGACAGGGAATGGTATTGAATGATGTTTTTTACAAGTGCTACAGAGCTCAATTTAAGCCTGCTCAGCAGGAGGCGATGTGTAGGTGGCCGGCCTGGCGGGCAAGCAGTTGGCGAGACCACCACCCGATGGAAGCTTGAGAATGTTGCCGGTGACAAAGGTCAACGCAGCACCAGTCAATTGAAGACCTTGGTTGATGCCAGTAGGAACAAAGCCGCTGAGAACGTTGTACAAGAGGCATGTCACGCCACCAGGGGTATTGAGAAGCTGACCGCCGCTGAAGTAGCCAGGGATGTTCAGTCCAAGGAAGTTGTTGACGCTTCCGGCATTTCCACCAAAGAGAACAGGGTTGGCGAGGTACATGGCAAGAATCTGTGTCACGACCTTCTGGCCGTCGTACGTGGTAGTACGAGGAGTCCATCCACCTGCAGGGATGCGCTCTTGGTTGTTGAAGTACCATGTGCCGTCAGCGCGCTGAGAAGCACCGAAGAAAGCCTGCATCGTTGAAAGATCAGGCTGTCCGTTTGCGGAAGGCATCAATTCGTAAAGGAACGAGGCAGCTCCAAAGAGAAGGAGTGCAAGAGGGCCAAAGTAGAAGTTGGGGTTTGTGGCCTTGGAAGCGTCGTATCGCTTCTTGCGGTAGGCAGCCATACACTTGAAGTCAAAGAGACCACCAGACACCTCGTTACAGGTGTCAACCATCTGGCCGAACAAGGTGCCGTTGAAGGAGTAGTTGTCACCACCACCGAGGAAGTAGTCGTTACGAGTCAACGATGTGTCACCCTCGAATGTGTTGTGGGTGTTGAGACCAGTGGGCTTGCCAAGGAGACCACCGAGCGTGTTGAGCTCGGGGGCGGCACCGCCAATGGAGAGACGCAAGGTCAAGATGTCACCGTCGAGTGGCACAGCGACTGTGCACAGGAGGTTGGCAAGGTCATCAGCCACATTGTACAGGTCCTTTTGTCCCTGAACAAGCTGGCCGTAGGTGGCGATACCGTTGCGAGGGATGTAGCCGTGGTTGGCCATTGCGTTGAGACCGGGACAAGGACCACGGTAGTCGCGGCCCTGAACAGGGGCCTGGAAGGCGTAAGCACCCGTGTCACCCTTGTAGGCACGCTTGGCGTTGGCACTGCCGATGAGAGCAGCATTGGCCTCAGCACGCTTGGCGATGCCGCTGAGGTCGCCAGACTCCATCATGGCAGCCATGTTGGGGAAAGCCGAAGCTCCAAGGAGCAAGGAGAGGGTAGTCGCTGCTGTTGTAGACTTCATGTTTGAGAGACTTGCTTGAGTCTATTCAGAGCAGCGAGCAGACCCTCTTTATACAGTAGCCTTTTCGTTTGGAGTATGCTTAAGTTACGCTTAGACGGCTCTTCAGCAAGCCGTAGTGGTCAGCCGCCCCAGTGCTAAGCTACTCGTCATGGCACTTAAGCTTGCGCGCTTGACGTCTTTCCCCTTCCGCGCCACATGGACTAGGATGGCATTCATGGAAACTCGACAAATCTGGGGAAGAAGCTTTGGAAAGCGCATCATCCAGCGCTAAATGCCCTTGTTCGAAGCAGGGTAGGGCGACGGTTCGCGCTTGGTGTCCATTTGGGTTTGTTCGTCAGTGCGGCTTGGCGGGCTAAGGTTATGGAGATCGTCGTCTGGCGGCCACGTTGTTCTGCACCCAGCATCCGCCAAATCACATCTCGCGCAATGCCCCAGACGCTGACCCTGTCAAAAGTGTCAACGACCGCAAGCCTCATTGCCTCATACGTTAATCTTGTGTCTTTGACTCTTTCGCAGCCGCCGGTGGGAAACATATTGGCTGAGGCTATTGCCATTTGCCACTGCTGGCTGCAGTCGGACCTTGCAAATTAGAACTACTCAACAGTAACGGGTACTTGTAACAATATGACGGACTGTAATGACACCGGACAGCATAGTCTTTTTGCATGATGGGCTTGGTCTCGACAGAATGCTAATTATGCTATGCCACCAGACGCTAGCCCTAGCTGGAATCTGCTGGATTGGTAAAACCCACAGGTTGCGGGTTTGCGCTCAGAGTAAGTTGGGCTTAGTTAGCATTGCTCAGCGTCTCGGGCGGAGTCAGGCGACTCAGGCCTCGAGGCCAAGAAACAATACCACTCACTTAAGCGATGCATGATGACATGGCATAATTGGCATTGCACGGTTGCACCTACTCCGAATCATTCGATTGTATGGGCTCCTGGCCACGAGGTACAGCCGCACAGACTGCACAGTCTCAGACTCTCACGTCCTCTAGCATCTGGAGTCTCGACACGCTCAACCGAAGTCCGCACTCTGAAGCATCATTCAATTGCAACGAAATCCTGATACATTGGTCACTACTGTCAGCTGATGTTCTCATGAGTTGCTTTGTGATCGCTAGTCGTAGTACTCAGCATCCACACCAATAGTCTGAAGCTGCAGCGAGCGTGCTCAAAGCATTAAGAAAGTACATCGTCCCGGCGCGTCAACTCAAGCTTGATGAACGGATGAGCGCTCGCATTTGCGAGACTTGCAACTGGCCGAGCTCCAAATTCGAATCAGCAGAGGGCACGCCCTGAATTTACAAGTACTTCAATCAATCATTTTAAGCTAGGGATAGCGACCTGAATAGTTTGCATGCAATCATTCGGCTTCCTTGGCAGCCTTTTTAGCCTTCTTTGCGGCCTTCCTTGCTTTGCGCTCTTCCTTCGTCTCCTCCACATCACTCTCTGCCTTTCTCTTGCCAATCTTCTTGTCACTTGCTTCATCCGTCTCGGTTTTCGTGGCAGGTGCTGCGATAGATGCGACTGGCGGTGCTGCTGCAAATTCGCCATTCGCCTCACCAGCCTCTGCGCCGTAGTCTTTATAGTTTGACTTCCAGTCTGCCGGGGTGTTTTCATTAATTCGGCCATACTTGTCGAGCTTGCCCTCTGCCTTGAGTCCTTTCTTCTTCATACTCTGAGGTCCCAGACCCCATCGTCGAGGATAGAGGTCACGCTCCATGATGACACGCTTGATCTTGGCAACGACGCCGTGGTCGCACGTCGATAACTCAACAGTTGACATTTGTGCAATACCCAGAGCGATCGCCTCACCTTTGGTTGTCATGAGGACCACTTCCTCATTCATCTCAATGCCAGCTTCATAACGCAGCAAACCCGGAATCATGAGTTTTGCACCGTAGCAGACTGCATTGACGGCACTGTCTTTCACAACAACACGCTTGTAACCAGTCAAGAGAGACTCCAGCGGACGGATGACGCGCCGCAGATAAGACTCATCCTTGGTGTTGTCGTATGTCCATTGCGCATCCAAAACATCGTGCATGGAGACGACATTGTCATTCTCACCCAAGGCGCCCGAACGGACACGACGCAGCTCCTGCATGTGCGCACCGACGCCAAGAAGTAGACCCAAGTGTACGCAGAGTGTTCGAATGTAGGTACCGGCCTCGCAGCTGACCCAGAAGACGGCGAGGTTGCGTTCGTCATCGAACTCAAGCAACTTGGATTCGTGAATCGTACGAATACGCAATTGACGCTTGACGGCAGAGATGAGCGGTGGGCGCTGGAAGAGAGCGCCCGTGAGTGTCTCGAGTGCCCATGCAAGCTTCTTCTCCGAGCCAATTTTGTCGTGCAGACGCAAGACTGCAACATACTCCTTTCCTGCACCTTGCTGTGACTTGACGAGTCGGGTGGCCCGGTCAATACACACAATCAGACAGCCTGTAACCTTCGGGTCAAGTGTTCCACTGTGACCAGTCTTGTCACAACGCAAAATCTTCTTGACCCAAGCAACGACCTCGTGAGAAGAAGGATTGGAGGGCTTGTCGAGGTTGATGACACCGGACGAGACATACTCCTTGAGCGGCCGCTTGAGAGGAGAGTAGCCGCATGGGATTGGGGTGAAGTGGCCCGTACGGGTCAAGAGCTTTTCATAGTTCTTGAGGAGAAGCGGCCAGGTGGTAGTGTCGAGTGTCGGTGTCGATGCCTGCGGCTTGATGCTGAATTCCTCCAGCTTGGCAACGGACATGGCTGGGCGACAGACTGATGGAAGGTCGCTGCCTGCTGAAGTATAATTTTCACTTTTTTGGTCGTCGAGAAGAGGAAACACGTGTAGCAGTCGTCAAGCTGAACAACACCCAACACATATAAGTATGTAGGTATCTATCTTCCCCATATGTACTGCAGGCTCCGTGGCTAAAGAAGGTGTCATAACAGACAACGGAAGTCAATTTTGTGTTCCTTTCGTTATCATGTGCAAGGGCAGGCCAGAGGCTACGTTCAGCGTGGCCCTGCATTGAGTCGCCACTTCAGAACTTCTTATTTCGAAACATGCACATGCACACAATTAAGATATGTATCAAGCATCACTGAGAGGTCCTTGAGATGCGAAATTGTTGAGCAGAAGACGGTATAAACAATTGGGAAAAGTTGGGCAAGAGAGATTCTACGTGTCTATGTACAATGCTTACGCAGCATACTCTCCAGCCATCTGCTCACTGACAATCTTCCATGTCTTGCGCTTTTTACCTGCGGATTTAGACAGTCGGTTGGTCATCCTTGACAAGACCTGCACAGCTCTGGCAAAGACGTACGTCTCGCCAAGCGAGGCGAGCAGATAGTGCACCAGGGCCAGTCCGATCAGGAACAAGCTGAATTGTGTAGACATCTTGGTGAGCTGCAAGACTTTGTGGAACCAATGCGTAGGCGAAACAGTGATGAATGTCGTCAATGCAAGCGTCAAAATTATCGTCAGAATAAAAGACCCTTTCGTTAGCATGAAATGAAAAGGGAGAAGGTACATACAATTTCGATACATTGGTTCCCGATAAGGTGGACCGACGCTGAGCACAAGTGCCACAAGAATGTACTGGTACAGAGACAGGAGGAAGAGCACTGTGTTGTCAGACGACACAATGCTTGGACTGTCGCTGCGAAGACGAGGCGGCCGATAGAACGGTTGCTCCTTGACGAGAGCCCAGATGAGCACTTGGAAGCTGACAATGATGACAATCTGTCCAATCAAGGACCCCAGGATCTTCTTGGACACCAAATTGGCTGTCGGTCGCTTGCGCGCAAGCACCTTGTGCGGCTCTGCTCGGCCCATAAACACAGCAATGGGCAAAATCAGCGCGAGATCAATCATGAGAAACTGGAAGTCTCCCAAATTGGATGCCGTGCGGTAGAGAATACTGACAGTGGTGAACTGAATAGCAGAGTACAGAGCCATGTATTTGAAGCAGCTGAAACTGGTGACGAGTGCAGCTCGACCATCTCGAATGACGCGAATGATGCAGGAAATCTCAAACGAACGACTTGTAAAGGGTGCTGCAACGGAAGCTTCTGCCTCTGACAGAGAAACGCCAACATCCGCCGCTTTAAGTGCACCGCAATCATTTGCTCCATCGCCACAAAAGCCGACACAGTAGTCGATTGACTGCAATTTCTCGACAAGCTCTTGCTTCTCGTCTGGAGACATGCGCGCAAAGACCGTACCCTTGATCAACAAACGTTCCAATGTCTCTTGACTAGCAAAGTCGACTGTCCAGCGGAAAATCTCGCCCGTGACGGCAAGACGGAAGTCAGCAACGGGTTGCTTTGCAAAGGGATTATCAAAGGCCTCTGCTGGCGATACAGGCAGCAGCGTGCGCGAGTCGAGGATAAGATTGGGGTTCTCCATGTTTTCCCACACAATCGTTTGAAGAGCATTGGTCGCACCACCGCTCTCTGTGAAGCGAGGAACAAAGACATGCGTCATATCTTGAAGCATTTGACACTCTCGTGCAACGCTGATTGCAGTGAGAATATTGTCGCCGGTGCACATGACATTGCGAATATTGGCCTCGTTCAGATCGCGAATGGATGCTGTTGTCGAAGGCTTGAGCTTGTTTTCAAAGATGATGAAGCCTAGGAAAGTCAAGTCCTTTTCGGCCTCTTGCCGCTTGATCTTTTGTGCTTTGATCCAGCTGAAGCCTGGCAAAACCTTACCAGCACAGCCAATGACACGATAGCCACGATGCGTGTAGGAAGCTAGAATCTCCTCGTAATTGTCTGGAAGGGAGTCTGACTTGCAAACGTCCTTCATGACTTCAGGCGCGCCCTTGAGGTAGACTTCCATGTCGTTTGACTGGAAACGCTTGGCAATGACACTCATGCGACGTAAATTTGACACGAATTCAAATTGACGCATGATGCCGAGCTCGACCTGACCAGGCGAACCCGACTTTGAGCGAACAATGGGCGGCGAGATCTTGTTGGACGTCTTGGCAGCCATGGTCTTGTGGTCAAGTCCTTTGCTCGGCGTTGTCAAGGTTGCATTTTGTCCGCCTTCTTCATACGTCCAGCCGGTGAAGCGGAACATTTTGTCATCAAGTGGATCTCCGAGGAGTTCACCATTGATGAGTCGGAGAGAATGACAGGTTGCCATGACATTCAAGAGCGTCAAGCCTTGGTCTTGCGCAACGACGAGCTCTTCCACCTTCTCGAGAAGTCCACAAAAGTCTGCTTGCTCGATAGGTCGAACACCTAGGATATCCAGACCATCTTCGGTGAGCGTGCCCGTCTTGTCAAAGCACATGACGTCGATCTTGCCAGCGACATTGACTCTGCTTGGAGAAATACAAAAGATGTTGTGCTTCTTGAGACGCTCCACAGCAAAGCTTGTACCGATAGTGAGTGTTGCCGGCAATGCTGGAGGAACAACAATGGTGATGAGATCCAGCGCTCGAATGAGAATCAAGCTCCACGGCAAGCCTAGACGAATAAAGTTGATGGCTGAGAGAACAAAGCCACAAATGGCGATGATGGCCATGAAGCCGATGAAACGGAAGCTGTCACGGTAGAATTTGAAGCCGGCAGGTTTTGGAAACAGCATACTGCGTACAAGCGAGCCCTTGGTGGTATTAAAGCCTGTTCGTGTCACCATGGCAAGCGCTGCATTTTCTTCTTCGTCGGATTGCGTTTGTGGCTTCTTGACTTGGATAAGCTTTGTGCCTGAAAAGAGGTAATGGCGGCCCAGCTCTGAGGAGATGGTCGTGGACGCATTGGCAAGACGATGCAGGCCCTTGTCGTTGGCAGCCACCTTGGCGACTGGTACTGACTCGCCAGTCAGCATGGATTCGTTGACGACACACTCGCCAGACAGAAGCAACGCGTCACAAGGGAGCAAATCGATGGATGGATCTGAAATTTCAAAGACATCACCCGGAACGAGCATGCTGGATTGAATGAGCTGCCAGTAGCTGTTTCGCAAGACGCGCACGTCGCAAGAGAATCGAGCCAGCTCCCTCAAACGCCGCATCGTGCGCTTTGTTTCTAGGACTGTTGCAGCGATGGAAGAGATTGAAATGACAAAGATGCAAATGGCATAGTAGTAATACTCGTCGCAAGACCAGAGAATGATGCTCGCAATCTGGAAGACGTAGAAGGGGTGCAGTGCCTCATCAACAAGTAGCTCTGCAGTCGACTTTTCAGCAATGTCAATGAGATTCTCGCCAAAGAGCGTCAGTCGCCGGGTAGTTGCCTCATCTTCTAGACCGCGCGCGCAGACTTTGATGGTTTCTCGCCATGCAGGATCCTTGTAATTGTTGTAGAGCTCGAAGCGACTACCTCGCGGATTCCATAGGAAACGAACATAGCGATAGTCGAGGAAGCAAATATGATCAAGCCAAGGATCATTCTCATCTTCAGAAGAACGTCCAACATCTAAAATGCTGCTCAAGTGACCACCGAAGGGAGCTTTTTGAACAGTATGTATGCTGACATCGTGCCATTGATTCTCAATAACGACCCAACTCGCAGCAGAGAGGCTGACGGGCTTGCCAGTCATGCGAATTTTCCATCTAGGAACCCAACGCAAAACAAGGTAGGCGATGCCAAACGTCACGATGCACAACAGATAGTAGAGCCAAGTTTGTAGTCGTGCGTCCTTGAAGCCTGCAATGACGAGATACAAGTCTTCTTCCTGCAGGTAGACCTTTTGCGACTTGCGGGCAAAGCGCTCACCCGATGCATTGGATTCTTGAGACTGCCGCCGCAGCAACGAGACTCTGGACATGGACGACCGCCGCGAAGAAGCAATTGACTCTGTATCGGCGATAGATTCGTCATCTGCAATGGCATCTTCCTCGAGCTGTATCATAGACTCATCATCGCGCTCTTCATCGTATTCTGAGCGAAAGAATTGCAAAGATAACAGACCTGCACTTGCATCGCTACCATTGCGATCTTGAGAAAAGGAGACTCGGTGCGCGAATCCCGTCTGCGCAGTAGGCACAGATTCAGAGATGGGTCCGTCAAAGATGGACTCTGATGCCATCTCGCCGTAATCGGATAGATGTCGCTCGAGCAGCGGCAGGCGCGAGTCTCTGCGGTGCCCGCGCCTGGCAGTGGATGCCACTGAAATAGCGGAGGAGGAAGGAGTAGAGGTCGCCATTGCTATCGCTATCTCATGAGGCTCTCTATCTATGTCTTGTGCAGCTGGTCAGGCAGTCGCGGTGTCTGCGGATGAAATTTGATATTTTTTGACTTTCCCGCGACAAGAACGAGACCCAAGAGACAGACATATCTGCTCGCGAGAGATGCCGCAGTCAAAGAAGGACCTACGTATGATCACATGGCCTCTATCTTGTTGCTAATGCCAGGCAATGCGCAAAATAAGAAGCTCGAGGCGGCCGGTATGAAGGTGCAGCTCACCAAGAGCGGTGTGCCCGTCAAGGCAGCGCGCGAGATGAAGCAGTGCAAGATATGCAAGACGGAGCTGGTGGCCGCTCAGACACTGCAGCTGCAGAGTCACGCCGACAACAAGCACCCAAAGAACACATTTGCCGATTGCTTTGCGTAAACTTGGATAGGATGTGTGTGCTTTGTGTGGCAGGAAGAAGGCCTAGCTCGTTGATGGATCAGGCAAGCGGATGGTTGTGTCTGCTGCTGTATGGCCCACCTCCTCATACTTCATACTCCTCCATACCATGCCGTCCTGCTTCCCTCGGACTGCTTTCTCTTGTCTGCTTTTGTCTTCTGCCGGTGACGACACAAAAAAGGGAAAAAGACGGCAACAACGGCCAACCCAAGATACACCCATCCATACGCCATGGCGCTCAAGAAACGCAAGAGCAACGGCAGCCTGCAACAGGCAGTCAAGCAAGCTACAGGTGTCTCAGATACTGAAGAGCTCAGCTCATCAGCGGCAGTATCGAAGGCGCAGGCGAAACCAGCACAGAGCAATGCCGTTCAGAGAACTGTCTGGACGCTCATTATGATTGCTGGGTTCTTCGGCTTGCTCGCTGCGGGCCATCTCTGGATCATCTTGTTCCTGACTGTTGTGCAGGTCATGATCTTCAACGAGATCCTCGCCATTGCCTCCGTCCCAGCCAGGGAAAACTCGATACCGTGGTTCAAGGCCATCAACTGGTACTTCCTCGCGACGACGCTCTACTTTGCGTATGGCGAGACACTCATCTACTACTTCAAACACATTGTGCTTGTTGATGCGCTACTCCTGCCCTTTGCAACGCACCATCGCTTCATCTCCTTCTTGCTCTACATCTTTGGTTTTGTATGGTTCGTTGCGAGCCTGCAAAAGGGACAGTACCGCTTCCAGTTCAGCCAATTCAGCTTCACTCACATGACGCTGATTTTGGTTGTTGGACAAGCGCACTTCATCATCAACAACTTGCTCGAGGGCATGTACTGGTTCTTCATTCCTGCAACGCTCGTCATCTCCAACGACATCTTTGCCTACATTTGCGGCAAGCTCTTTGGTCGACACAAGCTGCTCGAGCTCTCACCAAAAAAGACGGTGGAGGGATTCGTAGGCGCTTGGGGTTGCACGATTGTCATCGGCCTTATCTTTTCCAACTTGCTGATGCACTCCGACTACTTCATCTGCCCTGCAAAAGATCTCGGCGCCAACATCTTCTCTGGCTTGTCGTGCGAGCCTAATCCAGTCTTTTTGACGCGCACATTCGACTTGCCACCGCAACTGCTCAATTTGCACCCTCTGCTCTCCTTCATCCCTAAGCAAATCAGCATTGCGCCTGTTCAGCTACATCTCATGGTGCTGAGTACATTTTCATCGCTGATTGCGCCCTTTGGTGGATTCTTCGCCTCTGGACTCAAACGTGCCTTCAAGATCAAGGACTTTGGCGACAGTATCCCTGGCCACGGAGGTATGACGGATCGCATGGACTGCCAGATTCTCAATGGATTTTTTGTCTACCTCTATTACCAGTCCTTTATTGCCGTCAAGCACGAGACGGTAGGTGGTCTGCTGGGTCATGCCATCATGGGACTGACGGACGGGCAGATTGTCGATCTGGTACATGGCTTGACACATCACCTACGCAATCGAGGCGTCGCTGTCTGATGGGCAGACGGTCAGGAGGCAAAGTCGCCTGCAATCAAGGGCGTGTATCAATAGAACAGTAGGCTTGCAATTCAAAGCGCAACGTATAGGCCAATGTCAAAGCATGTACAGACGTCATCCTCACGAGCAAAACACCTTGATTGTCATGGTCGAAAAGTATAAAGAATCGATTGCGTCCTACTGAGTACCGCGTATGAATACGTTATGTGCTGTGTCGTCAACCATCAAGTAACCAGCTTATCGCCCGTCATGAACAGACGCCTACTTGGACGACTTGGGGCAGTTGGAGCATGAGCATGCACCTAGGATTATTAGCCACGGTGGTCATCGATCAGGGATTGAATGAACATACCGCCGTCACATTCGCAAGCAGATACGTCGCCGCCACAGTTACAAGCCTTGCGGGCAGACTTGGGGCACGAGGAGCAGACGCACTGTCCGGTCTTGCATGCGCAGATGGACTCGTCGCCCATGCAGTTGCAGGTGGTAGTCTGGATTTCTGCCTTGTTGGTCATTGTGTCTTGGATGTCTTTTGGATGTGGTGGTCTTGGTTGAGGAAGCCTTGGGGCTGGGTGTCGCCGTCTTATATGGATGCGCGGTTTGTGCGTCGCTGCTGCCCGTGCATGGGAGGCTAAATGGCCGCAACATGGAAGCACATCGAAGCAGGCGGATAGAGCCCGTCCTGGCACAGCTGCTGTCCTCGCTGGCCTATGACAATGCTCCTGCCTGTGCATGTCGCAGCACCTCATTTCCTACGTCGTAAATGTGACTGCCCGTGTCGTTGCCCATGCGCTGCACAACAAACAAAGAGACCTCCACCAGCACTCTTGCCTCCTGCTCCATGTGCTTGTCCTCTCCTGCTTGTCATCCTAGCTGCTAGGCTGTGCTATCTCCTTATCGCTCGTATAAATACTGCTACATCATGCTCAAGCCGAGGCCAGCGCTGCCACGGGCCTACTTCTACCCGCAAAATGCGCTCACTGCGAATGCCGAGGACGAAAACGAGCCTGTCTTTCCCGTCGACCTCGATGATGTCAAGCCAGTCAGGCGGCTCAATTACAAACAATCTTGTCCCGCACTGATGGGCACAGCGTCACGGCTCTTTGCTGAGCAACCGGAATGTCAGATGGAGACACAGGAACTGCCAGATTTGCGCTCCTTGATGCACTCTGAAGAGCGAGCTATACAGTCTAGGTCGCCACTAGAGTCTCTTGACTGCATGCAACCACCAATACGCACGCTCAGAAACAAGCGCAGCATACTCCTTGCCGACATCATTGATGATGTAGAAGGCAGACCGCCTCGGAAACGGTTGGACCAGCGTAGAGGCACAGCTTCCATTGCCTCTGCAGTGTCTGTGGACTCAATCGATATAGTCTCGGGGCCGCCTGGACCGCAACCACTCAGGCCGAAAGCAAGCCAATTTGACTTGCTCTACCAGTCATCCAAGGCTCTATCGTCTTCGGCCCGCGAGAAGCCCGTCTCCTCCTCTAGTCGAGATCAAAAGCCACCCGAGGACCTGATCATCGAAAGACAAATACCATCAGCACAGCTGGAACCAAGACGAGGAAGAGCCCTGAGGCCGGCAGTGTCTCTATTGTCAATGCGCGTGGCAGGGGGTCGCTCAGCGTCCCCAGCAAAGCGGAGACTCGAAGATATCGATACCGGCCACATAACCTCCTTTGACGCTCTCTTACCGCCTGTCGCTCCTGAAGGATCTGACGCAACTATGCACGATGCCTCTCCGCCAGATACTCAAATGCGGCGGTCAATGAGATTTGCCAGAAATACAAAATTGCTGATGGAGTTACCGCCTTCAGTGACCAACATGCCGCCCAGGAGACTGCGGCACGCCAAGTCGGCCAAGGACATCTTGCGCAAGTATGCCGAACCCCGCCAAGAACACAAGACTATCGGAGGAGGCATTTCCAAGACAATCAAGCAGCTGTTGGGCTTCAACAAGTCATGATTACTTTTAGCGTTTGGCTTTTCATTCCTTAGCGAGTTTACAGATTGTATGATGTATCAAATGACCAGTAATGTAATGACACTGCTGCAGCCACTTACGTACCAGACACTGCTCCATATGGGTGCAGAAGATGTCTTGATGCTTGCCTTGAACCCCAGCGTCATGCGCGTAGTGTTGAGATGGACCATGGCAGAAGGCTGAAGATGACTCTCGTGGGCCGACTGCATCGATTGCCGTGCGCTGGCCTCGAGCTGGGCGCTTTGTGTCACATTCTTGGCAGGCCGTGGTGCACTGGGAATGGGTACTGGACTGGCAGCAGAGTTTCTCGTCAAAGTCATATTCGACGTGAGACCTTGAGTGACGTTCTTGCCTGGCATGGTGGCAGCGGGAGTGGGCTTGAATGCGTTGAGGGTCGGAAGTGTAGCGTTCTTGTACACGTTTCCAATCACAGCGTCCAACCCATCATCTTTTCGCGTAGCAGGAGATCTACCCTGCATCAATGCTGTTGAATTACCCGTTGCACTGGTCGATCGCGAGCCTGTGGCATTGCTGGACACTACAGATGGCAAGATGTTTGAAGAACTCTTGAATGGTGCCGGCTGCGTCGAGTTGATCCCGGCAACTGCATTGGTTACATTTTTTGAAACGCTCTCGGAACCACTCTTCAATGGCATCTGTGCTTGGCGTGATAGGGCCATGCTTGCATTTGCTGCTGGCACGATACTTGGACCTGGAGCAAGCGGTGCTGGTTGTGTCAAATTGGCCCCTGCAATTGCATTGGTTATATTGTTTGAACCACTTCCGGGAACACTCTTCAATGGCATCTGTGCTTGGCGCGATAAGGGCATGCTTGCGTTTGCGGCTGGCACGACACTTGGGTTCGGGGCAGGCGGTGCTGCAGGCGACGTGACAGGCGCTGCAGCAGACGAACTCGAAGGTACTGGCACTGTAGAAGTATCAATCCCGAAACTCGCTCGACCTGGTGCACTTAACCTTGCAGAACCACCAGGATTGGGAGAGCTCAAGTCTTTGACTTGCGTCGAGGCAACGGGCTGTACTTGAGGCGGTGCAGCGGAAACCTGTTGGCCTGCAGGGGATGCACCGTTCGCCGCATTGGTAGAGGCTGCTACAGGTGGCAACGACGGCTGCTGCTGCTGTTCGGAGACTGCCGCAGTTCCAATGGGCACTCCACTTGCTGGACCTGGGACAACCGGTACCGAGGATGACGTGAGAGAGGCCAGTGGCTGCGGTAGAGGAGACGTGTCTTGCTGGACAGCCTGTGGAGCGACTTGCGGCTGAAACACAGGAGCCGCATCCTGCTGGCCTGCTGGTGAAAGACCCGGTTGGATAACAACTGGAAAGACCCCAGATCCTTGCTGCGTCGACTGTTGTACACTTGGCATCATGAGTAGTGGGTTTTGGGAAATGATTGCCTGTGCGGGAACAAGCATATTCTCAACCATGACACGTAGACCAACTGGCGTCTGGACAATTCCAACAGGGACATTGAGCATCACCTGATCAATGCCGTTGTTGAGAGACGGCGACAAGAACTTCTTTGCGACGCTCCGGTCTTGCTGTATTGTCTGCGGTCTTGCTAACGCGGCAGATAGGGACGACAAGGGCGCCGTGGAAACCTTTGCATCGTGCTTCTGAGCTGCTGCTGGAAAACTTTCGAAAAGAAGCGAGAAAGCTACGAACGAAGCCTGAAAGATGCTCCTAAACATCTTGCTCCAGTATCGACAAGAGCAAGGGGAAAACCCTACAGTCACTTGTCGTCGAGGCCTCATAAGCTCATAAGCAACCAAGCATTGCCAAGTTTCAGCCGACCCTGGAAGAGCGGCAAACATGACGTCTCACATGCTGAGACAGCAAGCTAAAGCTGACAGACCGTTGTGCATAACAGAGCATAACGACCGCGCTTTATCAATATTTGCCGAGCCCAGCGGATGTCGGTCTTCTGCAGAAGCTTGACGTTGCTGATAGCAGTAGGTATAGCTGTGCTATTCAACATATACTAGAGAGGGTCCTCTGATGCTGCGTAGATTGACTGTCATTGCCTAGCATGAAGACTTTATTAAGGCTCTGCTGCATGCTCGTCAGTAATTGTTGGAGTGGTGATGAAACTTGAGCTTCCTCGTGGAGCTGCGACTCTGAACCTCAACTCGATCACCATATCTGACATATCAACCAGGACATGATTCTAAGCTCAGACGGATGAAATGCCTGCCTTTGCGTCCTTCCCAGACGAATTATTGCTTCAGATATTCCTTGAGCTAGACTACGAAAGTCAGTTGTCCCTTGGACGCTGTTCACGAGCGCTGCAGCTCTTTCTGCAGGACTCGAAGCTGTTCGAAGATACTTTGCGAAAAGCGTTTCCACTTGCACATGCGCGTGTTGCAAGGTCGGTGAAACCAGCCCAGCATGGCTCATTGTCTCGCTGGGAGCATGCCCTGAGGTCTTGTGTGGCACAACAACGATGCTGCACTCAACGCAAAGCTCTGCAATACAGGAAAACGAAGATTGATCAACTCTTGCCATTCTTTCCAGCCAGGCCGCCTATTCCAGGTTTTCTTCTGAAGGTCCTGGTCAACTACGGGAAATTAGTCTGCTTCGTGGATCCTAGGGAAACTGGCATAGACCGCTATGTGAGAATTCTCGATTTAGGAAGTGGTGAAATCGGCCACTGTGACCTTGGTGACGGCCACGAGATCAGAGCAGTAGTATTGTCCGCCGAGCATGTTCATGTTGTTGCTGTACATCAAGACGCAAGCATGCACAACCACTCCATCTTTACATTTGATTTTCAAGCAAAGTTGACGTCTTCCTTTACGATCACTTGCAATACCGTCCAGGCAGCAGCAGCTTCTCAGCATTTTCTCTTCCTGAGCTGCTCGCGAGGTATTTGGATCCAATGCGATGTGTACAAGAAGACTTATTTGATGCTGTCAGGGGCTTCAGCTCTTCCTCGCTGGCCATACGATCGGCTCTTCTGTGCAGCAGACAAAGACTATCTTTACGTGGTACCAAGAGACCGAGCCGCAATGTGCTGGGATTTACACAGAGAATGTTGGTCTCCTCTCGATATCAAAACAACAAATTGCAATCTGTACAGTTCGGGTAACTTTGTTTATTGCAGACAAGATGACCAGCTCTGCATACTCCATGGAACCGAGAAGACTTTTGCCAACGGAAGCTGTCCTGGTTCAATCTTCGACAGTCATGCAATCTGTCCAATATTGGACATTGGAGGCTTCGCAGCTTGGCAAGGCGACGAGGAAACCAATTACGGACTCTACTCTTATACTGGCTTGGCGCAAGCCATGAAAGAGCCTGGCCGGCTGATGGGGCCGGGTGAGTCTCGCGATCAGATTGAGAATATGAATGTGAGACTCTCGAGTGACCATAACTGGCTCGTTCTTTATGACATGTATAGGATTGATATACAAGCTTGGTACTTAGGTGGCGCCTAGCAAACTCCAGGGTCATAGTGTATTTTGACAACCTCGATGTGCCTGTATGATGGATGACCTGCTCCTGCTCCTGCTCGCTGTCTTGGTCTTCAGATGGGCAACACGTGACGGCGACAAAAATTTATTTTTCAACTTGCGACCGGCAACGAGAAATCTAGACGAGCTCGAGGAGGAAAGACGCAAGCATGGATAAGATGGACGACACCAAGACAGTCAATGTCCCTGCAGAGAAGCTCAATGAGAGTGCTCCCAAAGACACTGGCGATGTCCAGCTCGAGGATGCATCGCCGCAGCTGCCAAAGACGAACGCAGAGCAGATCCCGAAAGTTGTAGCTGCAGAGGACAAGACTGAGGCAGCTGGCGAGAAGGATAAGGAAGGCAAAGCATATCCAGGCGGCCAACGCTTTGACGCGTCGACATTGCCAGAATCGAGCGATGCTGCAGAAATACGCAAGCAAGTTGAATTCTACTTTTCCGATAGCAACTTGCCGACCGACAAATTTCTGTGGACTATGGTGTCAGAGAACAAAGGCTGGGCAGACCTGAAGAAGATTGCCACCTTCAAGCGTATGCGCCGTTTCCAGCCATACTCTGCCATTGTTGAAGCGCTCAAGACATCCACTTTCCTCGATATCGACGAAGCTGGCGAAAAGGTTAAGCGCAAGGAAGAACTCAAACCTTGGACAGCGGCAACCACTCCTGTTCTGCGCTCAGTGTACGTCAAAGGCTTCCCAGAAGAGACCAAGACCATGCAAGTGGACCTCGAAAAGTTCTTTGCCGGATACGGCGACGCAAAAGTGGTTCGCCTGCGCAGGACTGATGAGGGTCAGTTCAAGGGCTCCGTATTTGTTGAATTTGCATCGGGTGAGCAGCAGGCTGCTTTCCTCGCGCTCGAAGGAGAAGACAAGCCAAAATATGAAGGAGCTGAGTTGGAGACTATGTCCAAGAAGGCCTACCTCACCATGAAGGAGGAGCAATACGGTGGTCACTTTCCAACAAACAAGAAGAGCAAGACCAAGTTCAACGCCTTTCAAGAGCAGAAGAAGCAGAACGCTGGACGCCAGGGCGCGCGATCAAGCCGTGGACGGGGCAACAACTCTGGCCGGCCCAACAACCGCAATCAGGAGCGCAAGAAGCAAGATGGTGACAGCGCACCCAAAGGTGAAAAGCGATCACACGAGGACGAAGCTAGCACAGAGAAGGAGGCAAAGCAACAAAAGGTGGACGCCTAGAGGTGTGCATGTAAGACTATCCCGTGAGAGTTGGCATAATGACAAAAGCTTGTTTATACAGTAGAACGAGAGTGCTATCCCCATCCTCTGCCATCGACTGCTTGTCCATCAACAAGGTGGAGCGCTTGCAGGCTTAGGGCCTATGTCGATAGGGTCGTGCAATGTGGTATGGACGTCTGGCCAGCTCATACGGTTTGCGCGACGCCCACGACAGGTGTGCGCAGATGACTTTCAATGAATCATTTGCAAGCTGATGCCCAGCGTGTCGCTTAGTTGAAATTTGACTTGGCCAGAGTATTATCCTGATGGTACTAGATCAGTGCCTCGTACTCAAGAATCCCATCAATGATGCTGACAGACATCAGTGAGCTGTACAACGACAGACTTACCAGTGTCGAGGGAGCTTCCTTTCCTGCTGTTCAGCCTACAGCCTCACGACTTGGATACCCTGAAGGTCACAGATTGGCAGGACGACTTTGTCAGCATTTCAATCGACGTTGCCGGACCACAAAACGAGATGACATTGCAGCACAAGGTCCTTGTATCTTGGAGCATACCACATTGTTCAGTGCTTCGCATTGAAAGCGACCTTCATCGCCAATGCCGACACGTCTAACGTTCAAGCAATTGGCCGATGCCTTGCTAGTTGAGAAGTAGTCAATCTCATCTGCGGAAGACTGCGTGCATGTCAATGTCATCAAGGGGCACACAAGCACTCAGAACAGGGTCCTTGGCTCTCAGGCCATACTCTCAGACTCTCATCACTGAATCAAATGGTCGACGCCAGATAATACTTGTCGTGGTACTGATCTTCGGGCTCTTGGAGTCTTGGGTCGACCATGACAATTGTAATGTGTTGACTGATCCAAGGAATCTGCTGATTACACAAAGATTTGTCTGCTATGAGCCTATGGCTCTGCAATGGGTCTGCAATGACTCTGCAATGAGTCTGCATACACAAATTACACAATTCACATAGCATAGCGACCGGCGTCATCGGGGCCCGGGCGGCAATGCAGCCAAGCTGATACTTGACAGGTCACATCGCGCATTGGTGCGAGTTGGAGTGTGCAACTCGATCTCCGTACCGGACCGTACGAGCTCGGCCGTGGTTTAAGAATTAAGAGTTGATCTTTGAGGCTGTAGCCTGTCAGCTTTGCCGCCTTAGATCCTTGCTGGCCATAAAGCATTGAAGCATCGTACCGATTCGTACGTCTCACCTGGATCAGAGCTGACATTGGTCTATTGCCAGATTGCGATACATACTGCAGCTGCCCGGCTGCCCGCACTCAGTCGGCAACTCAGCATGTCAGCGCAAGTTGTGCAGTTGAAGTCTTCGCCGCAAGCAGCATAAGCGATCTATCATCTATGTTGCTGCCATTCTGCTGTCAATTTCCTGTTCCTGCGCCTGCGATTGATGCGCTAATTTGGCAGTGCAGATCTTGGCTGCCAGCTTCCCCGGATTTGCGGGTTTGGCAGTGTCACCCGAATGCATCTCCATGGCATTTTGCGAAAGCCACACCTTATTCATGGAATCAAGCTTTGTTCTACAGAATCTACACAAGCACGCGACGATCCCTGCAGCGCCTGCTTGCCGACCCACCCTTCTGCCGTTCCCGTATTGAAATCCAATTGGCACAGACAGTGACAGACTGCTTGACCAGAGTTGTCCACCTAGCTTACCAGTGTCTCGGGTCAACGCTCATACGTCAATGGATTGGTCAAAGTCTAATTCTGCAATCGCAATCTAGCAACTGGCAAGGAGAACATGGGGAAAGTCCATTCTACTTCACCGAAGCCCGGCCTCATCCACTTTGCTAGTCAATTGCTACTATACTTCATCCAAAATCCATGATCAAGGCAACGCTCTTCATTGGCTCTCGGCGCAAATCTTGTTTGACAGCATATACTCCTCAAGGTCCTAAACACCACTCGGCATCAGAGTCGGCATTCGCGTATGGAACATGACGACTTTGTATGGATCTTGTACATTTCACATTCAGAGGCTTCATGCTGCGCTGCCTGCGCGTCCTTAGGAATGTCTGACCTGGACACTAGAGAAAGTATAAGAAGGCAGCAACCTGCTCTTCAGCAAGACTCATCAGCGAGCAATTCACCTGAAGATGAAGTCCACCACCACCGCAACTGCCCTTTCATTGCTCCTCGGAGCCTCTGCCTTCCCCAACATGGCTGCCATGATGGAGTCCGGCAACGTTGGTGACATCGTCAAGCGTGCTGAGTCCAACGCTGCTCTCATCAACAGCGCCAACATGAAGCGCGCCTACGGTGGCAGCACAGGTGTCTACGCCTTCCAGGCACCTGTTCAGGGCCGCGACTACCGTGGCCCTTGCCCCGGTCTCAACGCCATGGCCAATCACAACTACATCCCTCGCAACGGTATTGCAACGTACGCTCAGCTCATTCAGGGCCAGAAAGACATGTACAATGTTGCAGATGACCTTGCCAACTTGCTTGCTACCATTGCCGTGCCTCTCGACGGTGATATCTTGACCCTGCGTCTCTCCATCGGGGGCTACGCACCAGAGGTTTCTACCCTTGGTGGCGTTCTTGGCCGACCCACTGGTCTCAACACCCACAACACGTTCGAGGGTGACACATCGTTGACACGTAACGATTACTTCCTCGGTGGTGGTGACAACTACTCTTTCAACGGCACCTTGTTTGGTCAGATGGTCGACACCTGCCAGCAGGTTTCTGGAGGACTCTTTGACCGTGCTTGCATGACTACCTACCGTCGTCAGCGATATGAGGCATCCAAGGCCACCAACCCAAACTTCTACTACGGCCCTCTAGCCCTTCTCCTGTACGGAGCTGCTTCTTTCCTGTACACTCTCATGCCTGCCGCCAACGGACAGCCTGATCTTGCAACGATCTCGTCCTTCTTCGGTGCTTCTCAGCGTGCTGACGGCACCTGGTACTTCAACAACCAGGAGCGTATTCCTTCCACAACATGGACACCTCGTACCGTTCCGCTGTCTGGCCAAGACACCACCAACGAGATTCTTCTCCAGTACACTGGCTCGCAGCCTCTTGCTCTTTTCGGTGGAAACTTTGGAGCTGGCAACTTCCTTGGACTCAACATTCCCGGCTACTTCTCTGGTGGGCAGCTCGCTGCAACCCCTGGAAACATTCAGTGCATCTTGTACAATGTTCTCAGTGGCTTTGTTCCTACCGGCATCAACCAGGGTCTCCAATTGACTGGTGCTGCACTGACCTTTGTCACCAGCAACATTCTCAAGCTCCCATCGGGTGGTGGTCTTGCCAACTGTCTGCCTGTCAAGGAGGCCACTTACACTTCCCCAGCTGCCCAGACTGCTTAGTCTTTGTACCACTAGCTTCTTGTAGATTAAAAAGCTTCAAATCTAATATCTTCTCTTGAACATCCATGCACTTGCTGGTCAACAAGTTCCTGCACAAAAACTGCGACGACCGAATCGAAATTGACCATCTGATAGATTTAGTGAAGGCACGCTGTGGTTGGTCATATAGCAAGCAGGTAGAGATTGATACATTAAACTTCCATGGAGCTAAGCTGCAAACGGGTTTCTGCTTGTCCTTCAGCAGAAGCTTTTCATCACGCTTCGCGAAACACTCACGCAGGGAAATATGATTTGCAGTGTGAGTTTCTCTTGGCCCCTAAACAGGATATCGCGATGCGATTCTATAGACCTCATTTTACTCTTCCATTCAAGCAGCACAGCAAGTTGAAATCTTGAGCTTCACTTTAACGCCATACGTCTTGGTATTTTACTCTGAGCTGACTGTGCCTGCACTGGCTGAAGGTCGTCGTGGTATGTTTGACTGATCTTTATGCCCGTCGTACGTGTTACAGCCAAGGCGATCGTCTCATCTGTCTGTTTACAAATTGAAGCACTGCTTGACCTATGAGACATACAAGAGAATCTATTTGAGCTCAAGATGGTTTAACCAGCCATTAGCAGTCTCGAGTGTTCTTGCAAGCTCGTTTTGCTTTCACAAGTGGGCACGCTCAAGTGAACGAGCCAAGCTTGACAGACGCAAACAGATGGCTGTGCTTCATCTCCCGCAGACACCTGATTTGAAGCGTCATCTGGTCATTCTGTAAGAACGGGACAGTGTATGCGATCACACCAAGTCTGAGCGACAGCACCAGAATAAGTGCACATCGCTCGACGCTCATGTACGGTGTTGGAGCCATTCGAAGTAGGGTCCTTGCATTGATCGGCCGAACTTGGACAAGATACTGGCTAGAGAAAGAATTAAAGTCTGTAGGGCTGAAGTACCACATTACGTATAGCGATTGCAGACCCACAGTGATTCGTCTGCTCCTGTTGTCAATTTGTGGTCCCGAGAGAAATTAGCGTGTCTGCCGCAGATCGGACGAATAGCGCATAGTTGTCTCGCTGGTGCATTAAGGTAGACACCGATGATGTTTTGGGACTAAGCAGGACCAATTCTCCTTTGAAGTCGGTCAAGAGTTGGGGGCCTAGCCCTGTCGGCAAAAAGTGCCAAGAGACAGACGAAGCTTCAGACTGTGAATATCAATAGCAGGCTGGCAACCTTTGTGCGGCAATGATGGCCTCCGACAGCAACCACCACATCTCGACCACGGCAGCTCAGTCACGAACAATGTAAAGAGCCTTAAGTATGCCCATGACAATGTTTGCATCGTGCGTATGCCAAGATGATCCAGGCAAGTGGCCGAAGAAGCTGAGGGGTCCGCCATGATAGAGCTCCGGTGAAATGATCTTGACCAATGAAGTATGTGTTGTTGAGAGATATTTGGACAAGTGGTAGTTGACAAACATTGGCCCTGTAGATGCCATGACTGTGAGGTAACCAGAGGGGTAGACAATATTCGCACGCACCAGCCCATCGATTAGCTGTTTGAAGAATGGATGATTCTTGCTCGCCGCCATGACATCGTTTGATATGCCAATAGGTGTGGTTCTTGGAAGAAGAGCCATGTCATTCACAGTGCTGTCAATCAACAAGTCGAGGTTGCTCCTGCATTCAACATCAAGATCTGCATACACGCCGCCGTAATGCCACAAGAGATGGTATCTGAGCGCGTCTACCCGCTGGATAGGATACTCGTAGGCATGCCAAGTGGTCATGAAGGATTCGTAATGAGTCTGCATGAACTCGGTCGCATTGACATCAGTCCAAAACATGTGCTGCCAATCTGGATTCTTGTCCACACAAGTGTCAAAGCCGCTCTGCCAGCCATATGGGATGGTGGCATTCTGAGATGTACGATGCATGATTTTGGGAATACTGCTCCCAGCAAGCTCAGTGCTCAGGTGATGACCATGAGAAGCGATCCTGTATTGAAGCTGTGCAGCGTGGATTACTACCGTGGTAGCGATACTGAGGACAAGCAATGCAGCAAAGAGGCTGATTAGGATTAAAGCAAGCCTGGCAACGCGCCTTGTGGCTCGTCTTGGGACCATGGACAGCTTGAGCTAGTGATGCGGATGAGGCATGACCGTGGATGTGACGCTGACAAGAATGACTAGCAGGTAGACGTCAATACAAAGCAAGGAAGACCTTGGTGACTTGGTCGCTGAAAGACCCCGCGAAGACGAGCCTCCACGTGTCATCTGCACAGAACGCGAAACGCGTCAACAACGGCCAAGGCTGCGATGAGATGCATTATGATGCATATGGCTCGTGAGCTAGTTCTATGTATACTAGGCTACATCGCACGTCTAGGGGCTTTATCTCTTGCTCGTTGCGAGCTCACATGTATCTTATGAGACCAGGTTAAGATCATCTGCTAAAGAGATTCAAGTGGACGCTCTCACACACTTTTTTCACGTTCAAAGGCTATGTATGGCACGAGAAGAATGATGTGTCGCAGCTTGGGCCAAGCTGCGCAATGAGAGCTTGACCAATGCTGCATGATGAAAATATGATCAACACGCGAGGCGTTCCCCACACGGCCTTCGATATCCCTCACACGCGCTGATTGCAGCTCACCAGTACCCTCGAGGTCACTTTCACTTGAACGACGCAAAAGAGCCAGATGTCTGCTGGTCATTGCATATAATTGACCTCTTTTGATGTCAGAAGACCAGCGACAGCCTGACTGCCCATATCGCTCGACGTACCGTGTAGAGAACAGGCGATTGCTAAACGACTGGACGTGGCCAGTGGAATCTGGAGCGCATCAAGAGATAGGGCTTCTACGACCTGGTGAAAGTAAGTGATGACATCGAGCGTGCGTATGAAGAGCTTGAAGCGTTTTATTTTGAAGCGTTTTTGTTTACGAAATAAACTAGAGCATTAGCACTCAAGAATCAAGATCAAGCATGGACTCAAGCGTTGCGAACGAGCAAGTAACCGCCATCCACAGGGATATTGACTCCATTGACGTACTGATTGCAGGCCAGGAAGAGACAAGCCTGAGCCATGTCCTCATCGCGACCAGGTCGCTCAGCAGGAATCTCCTTGAGCATGTCCTTGTCGAGGGTACTCTTATTGGCTTCATCAGGCTCCTCACTAGCCGTCATTTGCGAAGGAAAGACACCTGGGCTGATGGCAGAGACGCGGACCTTGACGTGTCGCTCACCAAGAAGCACAGCGAGCATCTTGTTGATGTGGATGGCAGCAGCTTTGCTAGCATTATAGGCGAAGTGGTTCTGACTCTGCTTGGTCAATCCAGAGATGCTGCAAATGTTGATGATGCAGCCAGAGAAGCCATGTTGGTGCTCTGCGGCGCGCGAAAGCAGGGGCAAGAAGTCTATTGATGTAAAGTACATTGCAGCCACATTGGTCCTGAAGACATCATCCCATGCCTCGAACGGAACTGCATCGAAGAGATTGTCCTTGAGTTCCTGCGCCGTTTCACCAAGACCTTCAGACGACTTGACTTCGCTGCCACCGGCCGCATTTTCTGCTTGAGGACCACTGGATGTAGCAGAAATACCGGCATTGTTGACCAATATGCACAGACACTTTTCTTGAGCCTCAACCTGCTTGACTAGATTCTTGATGGAGTCCTTGGATGTGACATCGCCAACCAACGGGACGAGCGAGCCTCCAGAAGGAAGATTCGTGCCGTGTGTCTTGACTGCATTGTCGAGCTTGTCCTGCTTGCGTCCAACTATATAGACTTTTGCGCCATTGACAGCGAGCGCTTGTGCACACTATCGTGAGCTTGTGACATCGAAGGAAGATCTAGCTTACCATCAAGCCGATGCCAGTGGACCCACCAGTCACAAGGGCTACTTTTCCCTTGACATTGAAGAGCTTTTCGATCTGGAAACGGCTGCTGGACATGACGGAGTGGTTGTTGAAGGCCGATATCGAACGAAAGTGGCTCTGAAGCTTCTATACTGTATATGAGATGCGACGTCATGATCATTGAGCTGATGATGACATCCTTCGCCACATCTGACGTCGACTCTCTGACTGCGAGGTCGTCGTGCGGTTCAGATGGTTAGGGACCATCGTGCTCATCATCTTGGGATAGCCGTCTATCATCTCTGCTCCTGCTATGATCACTGCTACAACGCACGGAGCCACTGTCCATCGCGCATTAGGGCAGTTCAGAGTTTCGAATTTGTTGGACGCGACGAACAAGCTGCAGATGCTTTCCTTGCTTGCCATATTCTGCTTATGTATAGCGCGCTTGCGAACACGCGCAGTGTGTAGTCGGATGTTGTTGCTTGTGGTCAAGATTGCTTGTATGGCTCAGCTCGAACGCGACATTCATGATTTACATATGATGGGGTATGGGCCACCTTGTGCGAATTGTAGGTGTCTGGCGAACCCCTTAGCAGCTTAGCTTCAGGCGCTTAAGCTGCAGAATCGTGCCAGAATAATCTTCTGCAGCTTGCTGCTCTCAGACCTCAAGATTTGACACCGCCATCACCATAGACTAGGTCTTTGCCTCTTGCATCATTGAGCTGCACCAGACAGCGATCGACAGCGACCTCGTCAGCAACAGTCTCCCTCCTTCGATGACCCGAGCTAGAGGCACCAAGAGTGGAGAGGCTGCATACAAAGCCGCGCGTCGCGCAACATGAAGTCAAAACGAAATACAAAGGCTGCAGCGCTTGCTTCACAAATTGCCGCTCCGACGAGTGCAAATCAAAATGCCGTCGCTGGTGCATCAAGGACCACTTCTAGCGCCCCGTTGTGCCGACCTCTACCGCTGCGACCATTATCCACAAGTGCGAACGTTTCCCATCTCAGCTCTACCGAATGCGCCGAGCCGCGATCAGTGTTGGCTTTATCGAGCGCTGAGCCAAACTTTATTTCGCGATGGACGTCGACCTCGCAGTCCATATGCATCTGTTGCTGCAAGCACTGCAGTCGGCCTGCCACAGGCTCCAACAGTGCTCTTCATGGCAGCATCATCTCTGGTAAAGACTTTTCATCACTCTTGCTTGTCTAACTCTAGATCCAAAGCAATTCTTCAGGACTGCACGTTTCGTCCGCGACTGACACTCTTGGTCTTTCCTCTTTGAGGACAGACCAGCAGCGCGATGATGTCTCGAGCTCAGTGGCAGTCGCGCTAGGAAGTCATGTCGAGGCGTCATCTTCCGGCACAGGATTATCTCATCTGATACTGCAGGCACAAAATGTTCAACCTGTAGCATCAACAGGGAGGGACACACCAGTTTCAAATGATGCACAAGCATCCCAGTCGCTCAAACGCCCCCTTACTGCCCTATCGAAGCCTTTTACGGCAACTGCGAGCCCAAGTAGACTTCCCAAGAAGCAGAAAATGGGGAGGGCGAAACATTCTGGTCATTCTACAGACCTGCAGTCTCCACCACTTGCAAATTTGTCAATTGTGGAAGCCGTCAGCGGACATGGTTCTCCGGCAAAAAAAGCACTGCCAGATGATCATGTCAACGTGGAGACTGGTCAAAAGATCTCAAGCCAACATGAGCCGTCTCATGCCAGTCATGATGGACAGCGGATAGCGAGGCTTGAGATCGAACTTGAACAGATGCATGAACGACTGGCCACGATCTTGTTTGAGCAAAGCAACAAACATCAAGCTGAGATGGAGCAATTCGAAGGCCGTCTGTCGAGATTATATCAATTACAGCTGGAAGGGATGGAAGCTAGATTGGAAGCACGATATCCAGAATTTCAAAATGGCAAAGAGTCTGAGGTGAAGCTGCTTGCTAGCACGAGAGATGCTAATGCTTCTGCGTTCAGGTCGATGCAGAATGGAACGAGCAAGGGTACTCAAGAGGATGGCCCCTCACGGGCACTCATACCGACTGCAACAACGGAAGGCCCTGTCCAAGAGCTTGTAACCTACAGGAAGAATATTTCAGCCCACAGCGAACTTGTAAAGGAGCTTGATCCTTTGCTGTACAACGCCGCTCATCGACTTCTCATCTGCACCCTGTGCGCGCAAGTAGTCTCCCTTGAGCAGCTCGCCAGACATGTCCAGGAATACAAGCTTCACAAGGTACAAGGATCTCATGGCAAGAAGTGGCTTGGCAAGGTCATCAAGTATTGCAGCGATCATGGCTACGACCCCATCAAGCCGGACACTTTTGAACCCCCGGCAAGCGCCATTCAGCCTATCGACGGTCTGCCCATCCACGTCAATGGCTTCCAGTGTCTCGTCTGCAATTACATCTGCCTCACTAAAAAGGTCCTTCAGAAGCATCTGACAAAAGAGCACAATCTAAAGCTCAAGCAAAGCACAAATCAACCAGACGGAACCTGGCGCTCGACAGTCCCGTGTCAGCAACTCAGCCGTCAAGGACCCTTTTGTCGCTTATTTGAAGTTGTCCATGGCGTGGCGATCAGTCTGACGCCTGACTTGCAATCTTCAAGCGCCGTTTGCTCATTGCTATCGTCTTGAGCGAATGCGCCGTAAGAGGTACGAATCCTTCTCCTACAACAGTTGCTCATGATCGACGCCTTGCATTAGTGTTGCATCGTGTGGCAGCGAGACAACAAGGAATGAAAAAGCGCAAGGCAAATGACGAGCCAACGTGTGTACCGCAGCAAGCCTCGCGCGAGCGGGCGGTCGCTCGACCTGAAGGAGCGGGGTTGAAGACTGAAGCCGCATGTCAAGCGTCAAAGCCAAAGCCAGCAATGTACAATACAATATAAGTGCATGGCGATAGGATCACACGAGGCTGCAAGTCTGTCTTTGCTTCTTCCCACGTGGAGAGTACTCAAAGGTCACAAAGTCGACTAGATATAAGGCTTACTCTATGCATGGTTGCTACATCCACGTTGTTGGATCTCGCCGGTGCGAAGATGCTTAGTGATGTCTCTTCAGCGATGTCAAGCTTTCTTGCTGTTTCGGCTTTATTGGCACTACCATTACCAGCCTTTTCAGAGCTACTCTTTTGCTTCCTTCTGGTCGCTCAATGTGTGATGGACGAGAGGTGTGTTTCTCGCGCATATCCAAAAGAGTGAGCATGCCGCAATAAAAGCTCGCCGTCCGCGTTGGACTGTGCAACCTCACCCGTATTATTGTACCCGTGGATGTCGTTGTAAGCAGTAGCTACTGTACTTCCGTGCAAGCGGCAAAAAGACCTGAAGACCATGTCGACGATAGCACAGACTTGTAGCAGTTTGCTTCTCGCACATATAGCAGGTAGCATTTGCTCCTAGGCCATGCTCGGTCCTCTTCATCCTTTCTCTTTCCGCTTTGACGCTTCCATTGAGATGTGTGGTCGCTCAATCTGTGCAAGCCTCTCAGCGTCCACACGACTCATCTTCAACCGCATTGACCAGTACACCTTCATCGTCAGTCTCTGTTTCGCAAGCCAGCAGACTGCGCGCGCTGTCCATCGAATTTGATCATCAGCGGTCGTTTGTCCACCGCACAGATCCGAACGTGTCAAAATCATCAAGTAGGTCAACTTGGGATGACTTGCCGCAGCGCGTCTCATGCATTGGGACGACAAACCGCCAGCTGTGCTACGCTTCATGATACTATGGTATCAAGAAGAGACGCGATAGCCGTAGACCTGCAGCAAGGCGACAACTCGGCTCAGATGTACGTTACCCGTTGCATGATTGCGCTGTCATTGTCGCAGGCCGTGCAATGCATCTGGTAAATATGCAAGGGCAAGTCATGTTGGTTGATGCAAGCACAGAGAGTCTTCCATTGCAGACAATAGTATGCGTCTGTCACATGCACCATGCCAGATCTCACCACCTTTGCCAATGTAGTCTCGGGTGCGAGCCTTGCCCATGGACCTCAAGAGCGGCTTCTCTCGCTGTTCCTTCTTCAGTATCGAAAGCCAAACACGTATGAGATGGCCTCCATGCATCACATCAACGCAGTGACAACGGCCGAAGCGCGCTCATGACTATGGTTCTGGATGTACTCATGTCTCGCCTGTCTGCTTCGTCTCTGATCTGATGACCTCTTGCAGCCAGGTCAGTCAAGCTGCTTCTGGATGACCTCTCTGCTTCAAACCGCCATATCTTGCAAGGGCACCAATACTCCCCAAGAAAGGCTCGTTTTCGTTCATGGGAGCTGCCGTGGCGAGGCTCTTCATGTCGACGTACCGCAAGGTCGATACCAGGCCTCGCTTGATGCTTTGTGCTCAGGCACGGTAGTCCACTCTCCAGGCTGCAGCATTCGACCTCTGTGGCTTGTGCGCGTCTACGCCTACAGCTATGTCTGCGTCGACGCCCACACACCAACCTTGACACCAACCCACACACCCACCGAAGCATGGCTTCCTCTACACCTCCCTCTGGCTCTGCATCCACTGCTCACCCTCTACCATCCTCTGGCTCTCCATCCACTGCTCACCCTCTACCATCCCCTGGCTCTGCATCCACTGCTCACCCTCTACCATCCTCTGGCTCTGCATCCACTGCTCACCCTCTACCATCCTCTGGCTCTCCATCCACTGCTCACCCTCTACCATCCTCTGGCTCTGCATCCACTGCTCACCCTCCCACTCCCTCTGACTCTGCGTCCATAGACAGACTGCTCCAGCAGATTCTACGACATCTGGCTACGCAGCAGCAGCAGCTGGACAGGCTAGAGCACGGGCAACACAACATGGACATCCAAGTTTTCCTGCTCAAGGACCAACACCGAGTGCAGGCATTGCACTTTGCGAAAAGCCTCGCACGCTTCAATGCACCAACCACGAACCAGGGTTGGCTTTTATTTCTTGCATTTTGTTTCGTCTGGGGCACTGTAGTTTCATTATGGCAGAACTGGCTGTTCGCAAAGCAGGCATCTCTTGTCAAAAGTCATCAGCAGCTAACGACAGCTATGTTTGGTATATACTTATGGCTTTTTAGTCGCGTGTGTGTGTGAGGGAGTAATAGTGGGCGTCGAGGGGTCTTTTGTACTCATCTTTGTAGTGCGTGAGAAGAGGCAACCCAAGTCAAGAGTTTCCCAGGCTCCATGCACAACCTCGCCCAAAACGAGCTACCTAATTGCGCAGCGTACAAGAGCCAGCAGAGCCTTAGCTGGTCAAGTCTGCGACCACACAGCTACAGGACATGCCTCCTACTGCCACAGAGTGAATTTTTTGACGTCAGACATGCTACAAGATTGAGCAACTGGGCTAAAAGAGACTGGAGGACACTATCTTCTTTCATGAGATAGCTCGAGGGACCATATTGTGTCAAAGGTACTGATTCAGGCGCCAGCAATGAGAGTCTTTATGGTCTGAGGC